TGTAATTTTGACACTGTCGGGTTCCCCGGCCTGTTTTAGTCTGTGTTTATGGAAACCTGACTGGGGAATGAGGCAACTCGGCCCGATCGGGATAACTGGCTTTGCGTTGCGAGTAACTGAGTGTGGCTTGGCTGTCCATTAATTATGTAATGTGGAGGGTTTCGCGTTTCAGTGTAGAGCTTCAGAAACACACAAAGACATTTCAAACTGCCACAGGGAGAGCAGAGTTATTAAGAGACACCTGCATGTTCCACCAGGGATATATTCACGGCGAGTTTAACATTTAAAAACATCTCATTTGCAATTAACTGCATCTGCAGGTTTTTTAAACAGTGTTACAGAAGAATTTCCAAAGAGCATATGTTATCAAAAGATTCAGCATCAAGTACCTAATTTATGCTCTTTGGAGGTTTATTACACATTTATTTCTTGGACTCTTGTTTTTTATTTGAATACGTATGAAAAAAGTTTTTTAAAAACAGAAGTATTTCTGCATCAGTATGTCTTAATGTATTGTTAAACAATGTCAATATGGAGTCCAACATTTACCATCTGAATGTCCAGTAGAGCCATTGGATCTACTTGGACAGTTAAACCAAATTAAATGACCAGCAGGTTTCTATGACTCTCTGTAATCTGGTCAAGAATATTTGCGTCATTAAACCTGAGTAAAATTTTCTACTGTCACCCTCAAATCTGCCAAAGTGGAAAGAACTGGTCGTCTTTATAAGATGTAAATTAAAGCAGTTCCAATGCTGTCTTTATTGTCGCCTTTAGCGTGCCCTGTATTTCCCTGTTTGAATGGAAAGTAGATCATTCAATGCAGCCACCATGCAAATGAAGTAAGAACTCTAGCTGGGTTGTTGGTGCTCATATTTCTGACATGAAACAACACAGCAGGGTGGCACAAGGTGACATATCCGGTCATTTATGTAACCGCCACCTAGTCCATCTGTTCAACAGTCAGCAGTTCAGATGCAGCTTGCTAGCTCTCAAGGCATTGTGGAGCAAACACTAGAAGCACTCAGTTTAAGCACCAGCAGATCAGAACGGTGCTTTTTTCCCCTTCTTTTTGTTTAAATGACACTGTTTCGTGTCAGGCCCAAAGATGACAGAAATTGGACCCGGAATAGCTCCTAAGAGTGTGATTGATGTGGAAACGTTGTTGAAAAATTAAATCCTGCAAAACTCTGTGCTGACACTCTTCAGGACAGACAGAGACAGCACTGACAGAGCTGAAAAGTTACAGAATTGACCAGAAAGGTATTTCTCTTTGCTACAAAGACGTTTCGCGTAACGGACGAAACAAACGTCTGCCCTCACTGGGCCGGCGGTCAGCTGCGGGTGGACAGTGCAGAGAGCACCCGGCCCAGTGAGGGAGCAGACCCAGCAGGCGTGGCTGGACTGTTTATCTGTAGTGGTGGTTCTGGTCATTCCAGATAAGGACAGTGTGAGCTGTGTGTAGACATGAGGCTCGGGCTGAGTACACAAACCGAGCAGCTGCCTGGCACCAAGCACACACATGGACTCTTTCATAAAGGCGCAAAGTGACAGTGAGCACGAGTCAGAGTGTGAGGAGCCTCGATAAAAAGCCAAACGATAGAATATGACGTGAAAAACCAGCTCTCTCAAAGAAAGATAAGAAACTTGTGTGTGTGTGTGTATGTGTGTGTGTGTGTGTGAGTGCGTGGGTGTGTGTGGTGGGGTGACTCGTGTGTGTTGCCCTGAGCAGAGCCCTGTCATTATGTTTTGGGTGTTAGAGTGTGCTTTAGAGTCTGATCTAACACAGATGCTCTAAGACGTTCCAGATGTTCCTTAAAGGCCGATGAGCTCTGACTTGCACTCTCGTTGGCCCCGTTTCAACAACAATATCCCATCAGTCATTGCTCCTTTTGGGAACAGGTTTTATAAATTCTCCCGCACCACAGCGTTCTGGACAGCACGTAGCAGACTGTCGGACAAATTGCTTGACAAACAGTGATTGTCCAGCTTTGGAGTTATATCATTAACTGGGTCGAGGAATTTCATCTCACAAGCAAAAAACTGTGTTATTTACTAATTTCTTTGTTTGCACCTGACATCCAGTGTCTTACCAAAGGCCAAGAGTTAGCCGATGATTAACTACACAACTTGTGTGCAAATACATTGTTATATTCTTCCATGTTAGCCGCTGTCTTTGATTTAGGAGAGTTTGGACTTTAGCAGCTCTGGAGTGACCACAGGCAGAACAACCTCCCTGCTGCATTTACCACTGAAAGGGTTTTGTAACAAATTGTCCAAACTGTTATCAAAGAACTGTCCATTACCACGGCCTTTTTTGTTGGTTGGGGGATGGTTATTAAAGCAGGACTACTTTGGAAAAAAAAAGTTTGGTTTGAGTGTGATAAGTCTGAGAAGAAAGGACCACACTTTCATTTATCAGTAAAGACCAACTTGTAAATTGTGATTTCAGGGCGCGTTAAAAAAAAGTAAAGTTGGATTTGGGGTGGAGACATCAACAAATTCCAGTTGTGCTATCCTTTGGTTTGCAAATTTGTTTTGCAAACTCCATTTTTGTTTAAAAAAATCATTTTAAAAACCTTGGAATGTCTCTCCACAAAAATCCACAGACCAGTGCAACCATTTAAAACTGGACCTTCTCACTTCTGAGCTCTTTCTTGTCCTCAAAATCCTGCATAGTAATGTGAGTCGGTTTGGAAAGTTTGGAGTTTTATGGCAGCGTTGAAACTGAATCATTGACAAAATGATGCAACAACCAATGATTGACAGCATGCTTTAATTTTGCAAAGCTGGCCACAGCTTTCGATCTTTGTCTGTCCCAGCGATGATGTGAAGTCATCTGGCTTAGGATCGAGAAAAATTCCACAACACGAGTGCTTAGTTTACTTCATCTAATCAAATAAATGAATGTGAGGACAGATACGGACATCTTTGTTTGCCCTAAGGTTGCCAAACAACATATTGGATTTCTTTTTCCACACAGGCTGCATATCAGCTGAGCTGGAACTGCACAATGCAGACTTCACATCGCTTTTCTAACTTATTGCTCTGACTCCAATGTTACGGTTCCATTGTTTAACCATTGTTGAGTCTGAAAACGTTAAAAACTTTTATTCACATTGGCCCTGTGAATCCAATATCAGAGGGCTCCGAATATATTAGCTTAACTGGTGAAATTTGGACTCTGGGATTATTGATATTCCTAATGTGAAGGGGGGCTTTTTTAAAATCAGTCTAACAGTTTATTGAATTTAATGAACCTTTGACATGGCATCATCAGCCCACCTCTAACCTCCTCTGCTAGTACCCCCAATGCGGGTGGAGGACTGAGTATCTTCCATAGGAGACTGAGGAGGGGGATAGCTGTTAAATGAATGTTGTTGCCATTTAACAAAGATGTTGTTTTATTAAAAGGACTATCTAGTGTCTATAGATTCTTGCTAACAGCTTTAGAAGCTTTTTCGTGGCCCAACAATCACATGTACACCGTCTTGTGGGCAGAGCTGGGGACTGGCCCAGTGCTGTGAGGGGAGTGAGAGCAGGCTGGACAAAAGGAAGGCCCGGCCATGGCTGACTGAGAGGAAACAAAGGAGACTACAGAGCTATCCGGGGACCTTTTCACTCCGTGATTGTGTAGTTTAAAATTGAAAGTGGTTTAGGATTGCAGTCACATCCTGCTGACAGTTCTGAAGACAGTTTTTTTTTCACATGAGCATCCTTCTTTTTTTGTTGTGTTGTTGCTCAAATTTGGAATGACTTATTTCTTTTCTCTGGAGTTACAATCAGCAACTTGTTTATCTGCACCCGTTTTTGACCTCTGCCAACTGCTGAAGCAAACATCTGCTCCTTTATTTGGAGGGAAAGAAAACAAAAACCCCACTGCAACCATCAGCTAGCTGTTGACTTCTTAGAAAGCTCCAGTCAGGAAATCCAAAACGATGAGCTGCAGCAGTCAGCGAGGCAAGTTTCCACTTCAGGTGATTCCTCTCACGACGATCGCTCGACGCCAAAATTGTTGATTGAGCCGTCATCAAGGAATCACATTCTGATGCACAACATTGTTTTAGTCTCCAAGGAAACTGCTGAACATCTCATTCATCCTGTCTCCCACATCGCCCGCCTCTCTTCAGAAAACACTCGCTCCTGGTCTGAAAAGAGGCCTGATGGCCTTAAAAGTCAATGTTTATAGACTCACTGTCAGGACAGAGGACTTCCTGCTAAAGTAAATGTCTGCCGTGTTAAATCCATCATAAAGGATAAGAAAAATTATAAATACATTTTCTGAATATTCCACTAGCCCTCAGTAATTCTCTCCTGCTCGTACAACTTCATCTTTTCTCCAGTGGGCCGTTTTCAGATGGGAATGGTGAGGAAATCTGACGACTTCCACAATCTAAAATAGTTTTTACATCTTTAAAATGGATGCCATAAATGTGGTTCAACGTATCCCAGCTAAGCTGTGCAGCTGTAAAACATGAGTTAGCTCTCCCGATCCTCCCCTCAGTCGGGAAGGTTGTTTGTGTGCACTAGCTTTACAGTACTTGTCATGCAAAGAGCTGGTTATTGATTCAGCAGTGCATCCATACAGCCATGTTGATCATTTATTGATTAAGCCGGCATATCCTCTCTAAGCTGTTAGGGGCTTTCTGTGACAAAATGCACTTTAATCTACGCTGCAGAATAGCTAGTATTACTGCTGTTTTGCTTGTCCTGTGCAGTTCAGCGCTGCGCTTACATAATGCCATTTTGATATCCAGGGATTAGGCCGAGGTCATCTTCACAGACTGGCTGGCTGCTTCCATCATGTCACCCCCGGGGAAATGACAACTGCTTTTATGGCCCCCCCCCCCCAAAAAAAGAGGGAAAAAAAAGATGTTCCATGACGTGATGTTCAATTCCTGCTTTATTCTCATCCTCGTGTACCGAACACCCTTTTAGCAGAGCTGTAATCATACCGCTCGCAGCCACGATTCCGATCTGGAAAAAAGGTGGAATTTTTAATGGAGCTGGACCAAACAAGCGAAGGAGAGTCGGGCAGGATAAGTGAGGGGTCGTGATAAATGAGTGTGTTTTTGAGCACACAGGGCAGGAGCAGGTGCGGACGGCTTGTGCTTGGAGCGCGGCGGCCTGCACAGGTAGCAGGTCAACGCTGCCAAGCAGAGCTCCTAAAGAGGTGGAGTGCTTCTGCGCAAACACAGGACCTTACTGTGTACTCTGCAAACCCGCCGTCCCCTGCCCTCTTGAGAAAAGCAAGCAATTACTTTAAGGTTGTGAGCTACGACACACACAGAGTGTGACATATCCGTGTGGAGCGAGGCCCAGCAGACAGACGCAGGCCGCGGTTAGCCTGCTGAGCGTGCAGAGAAAGCCCCGGCCGCACATAAAGGCAACGACTGCGCACACAGGCTGACATTTACCTGCACACAGACATCTCGTGCTGCAGGTTTCACTTTTGTCACATGGCTGTTTTTGCTTGAACAGTGAGAGTAAAGCAAACAGAGCTGAGCACTTCGAGCCATCTGCCTAATGTCACTGTGGCCCATATCTGTCCAGCTCCCTCCCCCCCTCCCGCACTCCCTCATTGATACTCTCCCTACACTTGTCATCCGAACATCGTCCTTTTCCTTCCTCGTCCCGCTTCTGTTAGTTCCACTTATTCATTTTCTTCCTTCAACAACTGTCACTCTTCAGTTTTATCAGAGTTGTCCTTTATGCTGCTGTTCATTTTTTCTCCACCCCTTTGTTTGGTTTATTTGCAAACTGGCCTATCAATTTCCTAAACGATTTCCATTTTTTCCATTTCGGCAGCATATTTGACAGCTGGACTCAGACCTCTCTTGCCGCTTGCATGTATCCTCTTCCAGGTTTTCATAGCCAAGTTCCCCTCAATCATATTTCTAAGGATCGGCGACAGTGTGTTTGATTTCACAGTGGCACCTTTTCTCAGGAAAAAAAGTTTGCCCACTCTGCTCTGATTCTTTGGCACAGACAGTGGCAGCAGATGGAATAATTTGTGCTAAACGCCAACAGAACAAACACAAAGACAAACAGACCCATGTGTAAAATCCACACAGGCTCACATCCTCAATATTTCTTAACTAAGCTCTGGGTAAAGTATAATATTTGAGTAGCATTTTTTATGTTTAGTGAAGTTTGCAGCTAATTCTAACAAAGAAAGCCTTTTAGGAGGAGCTGTGATAAATTTAGGTGGAGGTGGAACAATGCATTACAAAACTCGGTGTTAACTAGAATTTGCTGAAAGTGTGTTATAGTTCATACTTAAGAGTATAAACAACACTTGTAGTTTTGGAGTCTGTGTGGTGAAAATGAATAGTTAACCGTAGCACGTAAAAAAAGAATATCTCTGACTTAAGTTACTTTTTTTCCCTCTAAACATATCTTATATAAGGGAAGAAGGTACAGATAGAAAAACAATGCTCAAGGTCCATTTAGTGGAGACATGTGAGAAAATACTGGTAAAAGAAAAAGATGAAAACTTCATTTTAAATTGATTTATCTCCTCATTTGTTTCTATTAAATATGAACGGAAAATAATGCCAAACAAGGAAAGCATATTCAGTGTAAATATTCCAATTGATAAGAATTTATGCATGTTTGATTTGATTTTTCTCAGTTAAAAGCTTAACATAAGTATAAGAGTGTGGTTTTGTTTCTAAAGCAGCAGATTTTTAGATATGTTTTTTTTTTTCCGTAGACAGTAGAGGAAAAAATTAAAGTGGTTCCTATCTATGCATTTCCTTTGGGGACTGTAAGAACAAGCAATGTTGTCTTTTTTATGATTGGTTAGCTATTCAAATCACCAACCATTACACAATGTTGACATATCAGTAGCTGGATAGTCTAAATTAAAGTGTTGAAGCGATCTGCCTGGTGTACATTACATTAGTGTATCTCCATTTTTACCCAGCAGATGTCAGTGCCATGCGTTCTGGCCACAGTCACACATGCTGAACAAGTATTTTTTAGGATTTCTGCTGAAAGAAAAGAGGCAGAGAGTGAAACAACCTGCAGGGACAAGACTTACAAATGCCGGCCTGAAACCTTTTTTCTTAGCGCATGCCTGTGTTTGATACAGGATGCAACATCTTTAGGCTTCCTTCTGGTACACGCTCATCCTTTGTTAGTGTCCACATGTGGCCTATGCAGTGAGGAGTGTCACGTACGGCCTGTAAGCAAGAGCTCGTCTTCTAAAGGAAGTGGGCCTGCGCCGGGTCAGCACAATTCCCATGAGGGAGATAGGGACTTTTTTTTTTTTGGCATGCTGGGGGTTATCCCTTCGCAGAGTCGCATTAAACCACAGAAACGTCTCATCAGATTGCAGCCCGTGGTATGCTGTAAAAACATCTTGCTGGTTAGAGGACCGCGAGGAGGAAAAGGGACAATTGGTCCCACAAATAGGCCTGTTTCCTGTTGGAGGAAATGTGTGTGAAAAGCATGTCAGAGTATAGCGGAGCCATAAACACTTGTTACGCTAAATGAAGTTAGATGCAGAGCTGAGTGATGGACTGAGCAAATTAAAAAAACATGTCAGCTTTCAGGAAATCTGCACAAAAATGGATGTCAGCTTTTAATTTTTTTCTTTTTGGACAATTGAATGCAATTCTGATCTGATCCATTCATGGGTGGTAATGACACATTAATGCTTTGTTTTAACAACATTGAAGTGCAGGTTTAACACAGGCAGACCGTGTGAAATTACTCATTACTCTGATTCTGCTCCTCATAGTTCTATTTTTACAGGTGGTCTAATCATTCATATGTATATTTATATCTTAACTTGATGGATTTATTTTCTTATCTCTATGCCATACAAAATGCATTCCAGATATTCTCTTGCATCTGTCAAAAGTTGCTAATTGGGAGTTTCGAGACACACACAGATCAAGATGGAGTTTTGAACTATTTTTCATATCACGGATCCAAAAATAGAAGCAGCTTAAATACCTAAGGAAAAGTGGATGGAATTTCTGAGGGAAAGATGTTCTTCCTAATGGAATTCCTCATAATCCCCAGATTAAGACATGGAAAGCTATAGATTTAAAAGGCTGTCATTCTAAGGTGGACATGTTCTTTTGCTGAGAGAACAGTGAAGGCAGGACAAAAAGAAGACTGTGTGCAGGCTAGAGAACACTCCTTGTGGGACAACTTGGTTGCTTATCCTATTTGCTTGCGGTAAGCAAAACATGCGCACCTTGCAATAAAAAGCTTCCTTTGTTTGGTTAGTCAAATGTTATTTGCTCAGTGTGAGAGATTGAGCCTGGGAGCGGCTGACTGATATGAAAAGCGTGAGAGCTGGCAACACAGGTAGCTATTGGAAGGAAGAAAAAACAGTTCCGTTTTGGCATCAGCAGCAGCATCCTTGTTTTATTTAGCAGCAGCAGAACAGTCCCGGGTATACACCATCACAGCAAACAGCATATGTATTGTTTGACTGACTTTAGTTACGGGTTGAAATAGCAGAGATAAAAATATCTCACTGATCCTAACTTCTTGATACCAAAAGGCAAGAGATACAGTATGTGACACCCGTGGATAGTTCTGAGTACCTCTGGCCCATTTTGGGGTTTTTCACTCCAGTCCAGTCATAGGGTTTGCAGACTCACAGTCGGGTTAAACACACGGAAGTACATTTTCATATGAAATATAATGGAGGTTAAATAAGATTGCACTTTGAGCGATTAGAATATTTTAACATTTGCTTCAAACCACATTTGATATGATGGAATTTTTTCCCCTGCTCTCTCAGTCTTAAATAATTTCACGTCTCAAGGTAAATGTCAGCAAAAAAGGGGAAACGTTTGATTAATCTTCATTCCAAGAGTATCCTAATTTATGCCTTAAACAGAGTGCAACATGGACCCTGTCTGCATCACGAGACTCCTACCTAATAGTTGACTATGTCTCTCTCCTCTGACCACTCAGGTGAGCGCTAATGTCCTGATCTTCCTGTGCACCAATATCATCGGCATCTGTACGCACTACCCTGCTGAAGTTTCCCAGAGACAAGCCTTTCAGGAGACCAGAGGCTACATCCAGGCCAGGCTTCACCTGCAGAGGGAGAACCAGCAGCAGGTAGGACCGAGCCCGGGGTTCTAGTGGGAAAAGATTTACTAGTAGACGACTCCAAAGGCAGGAAGCGTTAAAAAACTCCCTCAGACATTTTACAGAGGTTCACATGTTCCTACTTTCATGTCCCTTGTAAAGTACACTGCCCCCGTTTGGGTAACCACGACAACGTTGTGCAAACAGCTTCTGTTATTAGCACAAATGTCCTCCGTCATACTTAATTAACGGGATGGAAATGATGGAGCCTCAGCTTGAGTTTTGGCTATAGACAGATGACAAAACAGAGTAAAAATAAATCCAGAGTATGTTAAAAAGCTTAGGAAAGTTCAAATGTAGCTGAAAAAGCAGCATGGCTGCAGTCATCTGAGATCCCCATGAATGAGGTCGGGTTTTTTTCTTTTAAAGCTTGGCACTAGAATGTGAAGATACCACACACATAGGCAACGTGGACAGAAACTCACAGCCAAATGTGGTCATGCCTCCATGACGTTGGAGGAGCAAAGACGCTCCCCCTCAGTGATGTCCTGATTTACGCTACCAGTGGAAAGTTCCATCGCAACAACACTAACCCGAAGTCTTATTTTCAACCATAAACAGTTCTAGCTTAAATCTGGGTTTTAACCACAAAAATGGCTTTGTAATAAAACTTTTTCTTTAACATTAAGGATCATAGACATACTGCAGTTGAACTCTAGTTGCATAATGAAACTGTAAATAAACATGAATTTCATTAAAGTTATCAATCATCACTGTTAGAATATAGTGCCACGAGAAGGTTTGAGGCAATGTCAAACATGAGCTATAGCCGCATGATTTAGGGAAACAGACAAAGCAAGAATGAAATAAATCTGCTGGCTTTAGAGTGGAGACTTTCTTCCTAACAGAGCGGATGAAATCACACATGCTTAGGGAGTTAGCAGATGAAGGAACTGGCTATTAACAACAACCAAGATGGCCTGTGAAACCCAGCGTGGACACAGCGCCATAGCCAACAATTCAGTATGTGGGCTGTAGAAATGCTCTTTCATCGTAGCACGACCGGCATGGCACTATTTATTGTAAATAAAGGTGGCAAGTTTTCACTTTCCAACCCACTCAGATTTATCCCTGAACCATCTAAAAGCCACCGCTAATGACAATGGGATAATGAGTCATTTTTGTGGCCACGTCTCAACGGAGCAAACACCACCACGAGTACACTCTAAACCCCTCGATTCCTCACCACGGCAGTTGGTTTCTGCTCGTGTTTTTCCGCTTCGGCTCCAGGCTCTGCTGTTGCAACACAGAGCCTCTGAATCCTCTACAGGCCCAGGTTCAGCTTTGTTTATTCTTTAAAATATAAAGCAGGTGAGTTTTTAGATAAACGACTAGAACATGCACATAAACGAAGCGCTGCCTCCATTTAATCAGTACTTTAGGAAAATGAAAAAACAAACACATAAAAAAAGACCAGTAAGTAAAAAAGAGAGTCTGTATTAGTTTTGTTTAATGTAGAAGATTCATGGCTACCACAAAATCTCTCACACCGGTGTAAAAGTGTGTCCATTAAACTCACCAGATTACGTCAAATCATGTCTGGGTTCATCTTTTTTTTATTTAGCGTTTTGGAAACTAAAGACAAAAATAGAATAGAAACATTTACAATTAACCCATCAACAAGTTTGAATGTATTTCTGTGAAATTAACAATTTTATCAAAGAATGTTTAGTAAGTTGGAGGAGGCAGGGCCATTAATCTGAGCCCCAGTGTCCTTTTCTTTTTGCTTTGGATGCAGCATTTGTGCTGCTTTTAGTTCCCAGTGAGTGGCAGAATTCTCACCTCAGTTAAGGATGATTGTTTTGTTATTTTGTTAATATTGCATAGCTTCAGATCCATTTTTGTCAATAGTCACCTGAAAAATGTGCACATATCTGTAGTCCCGATAACCCCGATTGATTTTTTTAGTTGATGAAGCCAGAAGATTATTATAGTTTGTCTTGCAAGAAAAGCCATAGAGAGCCTGGGTCTTGAATCTGAATCTGAATTTGCTGAAGTACCACTGGTCTCCCAGCCAACATGGCCAAAGATAGGTTAGCCAAAGAAATTACCTCTAATCTCAAAGGGAATCTCAATTCTGAGAGGAGCATTTTTTGCAGGGAAAAAGTGCTCCATTAAAGGATTTCTTTGTGTACAGACAATGTTGTCAACAGTTTAGTAGCAGAACAAGCCTCAACGTCATCATGTCCTCCACGACCCCTTTTGGAGGCCTACATTCATCACCACAATGCAGGAGGCAATTTTTTTTTTTCACAAAATGGAGGCAAAAAGATTTCTAAGAAAGATGCGAGTAATGGTTGTGTTTTTGATTTCGACCCAGAAAGGAAGCAAAAACCAATAAACTATCAGGTTTCCCAAAAAAAGAAAATACTTTTCCCCTGATGCAGCAGCAGAGGGACCAAACTGTTCTCTCTGCAAACCGAGCCCTCCTTGAAACGCTGCCAGACATTAGCACTGCCATCCCAAACATGCACTCGCGCACACATGGAGATGCAACATATTGCACGTGGACAGTAATGTTGTGAAAGACACAATCTGCATTTTTTATGTTCTTTTTTGTGTGTGTGTGTGTGTGTGTGTGTTTTACAGGAACGTCTGTTGCTTTCAGTGTTGCCAAGGCATGTTGCTATGGAGATGAAGGCTGACATCAATGCCAAGAAAGAAGACATGATGTTTCATAAGATCTATATCCAGAAACATGACAATGTCAGGTGAGCCATTCTGGACGTTAGGCCTCTAAATCAGCCCAGTTTTTGTGTTTTTTTGCCGTTGTCAATTTATCTAATATCCTTAAACTATGGACAACCTATGTTTAGTGTGGTGTGCTATGACATGTCTGCTCTTTCCAATAAATGAGTGACCAAACAAAAGCACTTGTCGCACACACACGCACACACATACACGAGTGCCCTCACAGAGACAGAGGAGGGTAGAGTGGTTTGGCAGAATAGAGGCTAATTAACACTAGTGAGGGAATACTTAATCACCCACAGCCAAGATAAGATAATCCCCAAAGATGGAGAGCTTCGGCACACATTCAATTACAGCACTGTGCAAACACCGCGCAGACGGTCCCTCGTACACACACTTGCAGGCACGCACACACACTTGTTACTCTCAGACGTCCCTAAAATGACATTAATGGGCAAACTTCACGACCTCTCAGGGTAAGGAGTCCTGCCAGCTGCAGGCTGTAACCAGGGCTTTTCTAAATTCCCCTTTTTCTCTGTCTCTCCATCGCTTTAGCATTCTGTTTGCTGACATCGAGGGTTTCACCAGCCTGGCGTCCCAGTGCACGGCCCAGGAGCTGGTCATGACGCTCAACGAGCTGTTTGCCCGTTTTGACAAGCTGGCGTCGGTAAGAAGGAGATTCTGAAGGACCGCTGCTCTGAAACCGCAATTTTTATTGAGGCTTTTTTTGGTTCTCCGCCTTGTTTCTCAGGAGAACCACTGTCTCCGTATCAAAATTCTGGGTGATTGTTACTACTGCGTGTCCGGGCTGCCCGAGCCGAGGGCCGACCACGCCCACTGCTGCGTGGAGATGGGCGTGGACATGATCGAGGCCATCTCGTGAGTAAAGCGGCCCCAAAAACCGTGCTGCCGGAGCCCGGGCGGCAGAGTAGACACCGTGGCCTGTCGCCTGTCTGCAGGTTGGTGCGGGAGGTGACGGGGGTCAACGTGAACATGCGCGTGGGCATCCACAGCGGGCGGGTGCACTGCGGAGTGCTGGGGCTCCGGAAGTGGCAGTTTGACGTGTGGTCAAACGATGTCACGCTGGCCAATCACATGGAAGCCGGAGGCAAAGCAGGGTGAGAGGAAACACCTTTCCTTCAAGTGTCCAGTCTGCACCGCGGCCAATCGGCAGTCTAAAGCTTTTTTTTTTTAAACCTTAAATGACCAGAACTCCACCTGCTCTTTTTTGCCCTCCCCAGACGGATCCACATCACAAAGGCCACTTTGCAGTACCTGAATGGGGACTACGAAGTGGAGCCAGGGTTCGGGGGGGAGAGGAATGCATATCTGAAGGAAAACAGCATTGAGACTTTCCTGGTCCTCGGCTGCAGCCAGAAACGGGTCAGTGCAAACGGAATAGGTTTATGTTTGGACATCTTCACCAAACAGATTCTGTCAGGTTTTCTGAATTAAAGTGGAAAAGATATCTGAATACTGTAAGTCTCAGAAACAAATATTTCACTTTTTGCCTGAAATTTGATTTTTGTTCTTTTATATAACATATCAAAATCTATCAATTTTATAAGTTGTCTTCTAAGTGAGCCACACAGTTGCTGAGTGAAACCTTTCTCCATAATAATGAATAATAATCTGAACAAATACACTATTCAGGTCAACCACTTTTTGAAATGATCAAGCCTTTGAAATAATCTATTGTTTTTAATGTTCCACATTTTTAAGAACTATACAGGGCAAGCTGTGAATCGTTGTTAAATGGATTTGTTCTTTCATCAATTATTTGGGACGGTGTCTGGTCCGCTTTGTGTGTCCAAACATGGTGAGGGTATCTCAGTGATACAAATGTGGGTGTCTGTAACAAAACTTGTGTCATCGCTTTTTTTTTGTAGGGTCAAATTTCCCCTAAAATGCCAGACAACAGTTTGTTTTGATGTTGGTTCATCTTGAAATATGTGCAGAGCTGTGCTTTCTCTGAATTCGATACTTTCCACTGCTGTCCTTTGAGTCTGACTGAGTAGCTTTAAAGAGTTAATATTCAAAACTACAATTACAATGTTAGTTTTTTTGCTGTTTGTTGGAAAGAGAGGTTATGTATGTATCATGTGGAAAAACACTAAATTATTGAAGAAAATATAGCAAACAGTAGACTGGGGAGACATAGTCATTACTGAAAGAAGTTAAACCAAATGTGTATCATCTCACGGTAAGCGAGTTGTGAATGAAGCCGTCTTTCGCTAGTGGAAAAAACAAGCCAGATTTTTTAAAAAGCAGCCTTAGTAACTCATTCTGGCATTCGCTGTGTTTCGTGTTGGATGAGAACAGTTGGTTAAGCCTTCGCGTTGTTCCCTCTGAGCAGAAGGAGGAGAAGGCAATGATGGCGAAGATGCAGCGGACGAGGACCAACTCCAACGAGGGGCTGATGCCCCGCTGGGTCCCGGACAGAACCTTCGCCAGGACCAAAGACTCTAAAGTCTTTAGACAAATGGTGAGAGTGGATTAAAAAAAAAGAAAAAAGCCAAACCGAGTCTTTCATTTGGGAGATTCATCATTTTTTCCACTTTTTGTTTTATTTTAGGGGATCGATGAGACCTCCAGTAAAGACAAGTGAGTGCAGAGTCTGAATTCACTCCTTTTTTGGGTTTTGGGAACCGGTTTTTGTCCAGCTCAACCTATGTCTTGTTTTATTTTCGCAGCCGTGGAGTTCAGGAGGCCATGAACCCAGAGGACGAGGTGGACGAATTTCTGGGGCGAGCTATTGACGCCCGGAGTATAGACCAGCTCCGAAAAGACCACGTCAAGAAGTTCCTGCTCACCTTCCAGACCTCCAGCCTGGAGAAAAAGGTCCAAAGACCAGTCCCTGATGAGTGCCAGAGCTTCTGGGTTGCTACACATGTCTGACTTCTTCTCCTTTTTGTTTTTTTTCAGTACTCCAAGAAGGTGGACGATCGCTTTGGGGGCTATGTCGCCTGTACTCTGCTAGTATTCTGCTTCATATCTTTCATACAGATTGTTATCTTTCCACAGTGAGTACCTTGTGTCACAAATTGCACATGCAAGTTCTGCTGCTATGCTTTTATCCTTTGGAAAATACAATGACAATCTGGAGCTCCAGTCGCAGAATCATCAGAGCAGGAGCACTTTGACCCGAAAAGCATTCAGATATCAAAATGAATTTTTTGCTCATACCGAGTCCCTCATGGCTGTTTGTGTCCTCTCTCCCGCAGCACCCCAGTAATGCTGGGGATATACATCAGTATCTTCATCATACTCGCCAACATCCTCTTCATCTGTGCCATATACTCTTGCATTAAGGTAAAGGAGCTCCTGCGGCTTCTCCAACCAAAGGATTTGCTCGCATGTCTGTGCTCTGGCTGCGCATCTAATGCGGAAACCATTTCTATCCCGCAGCTCTTTCCAGCTGCGATGCAGACTGTTTCCAAGAAGATTGTTCAGTCGCGCACCAACAGCACCCTGGTTGGAGTGTTCTCCATCATCCTCGTCTTCATCTCTGCCTTTGTCAATATGGTAAGGTCGGCGTCGCGGGGAACCCCACCACATTTCGCCGAGTCAGCGGCCATGCAAGTGACCGTGTGATTGTTGTGTGCAGTTTGCCTGCGACACCAAGAGCTTGTCGGAATGCGTGGCTGAGAAGCTGAACACCTCTGCGGCCCTGGTGACGCCCTGCGTGATCCACAGCCTGAATGTGTCCATCGAGGGGGGGCTCGAGATCTGTCCAAGCCAAGGCCCCTCGTGCCCCTTTCCTGAGGTGAGCCCGCTGTCGGTCGCCACTGCCTTTTGCGTTTGTGCGTCTCTGGGATCTGCTGTGGCTGACGTGTCCCGTGCTGTCCCCCCGTCTGTGCCAGTATTTCAGCTACAGCGTGCTGCTGACGCTGCTGGCCTGCTCCGTGTTCCTGCAGATCAGCAGCATAGGGAAGCTGGCCCTCATGCTGCTCATCCAGTTCACCTTCCTGCTGCTGGTGGAGTGGCCACAAGTAGCCCTGTTCGACAACGCAGACCTCTTTGTCACCTCCAATGCCATGTGAGTGCCGCGGCACCAGGAGAGACGGCAGTTTGTACTGATTACGTCAGGCTTAACGTAGTTTACCTATGCTCCAAGTATTTCAGACGTGGCGCAAAATCACTGAATGCTGAAGCCAGTCGCTTATTTTTCCATCACATGCACTCAGACTACAGGAATACATATTGCAACTTAGATTTTTCCAACGGGAAACATGTCTGATCAGCCCTGATGGCAGCTGACCTAACTTCAGCCATGTTGGATCTTACACTGATTGGATTCAAATCAGACTGATTGTATTATATTATACTTCTAACATTGTCTCTTTATCTTTTCAGCGATTTAAATGAAACTAATACTCAGTGGTAAGTTGGATGCTTTTTTCTAAAATCTATAAGGGAATTTATGTCTGCATCTATCTATAAGAAAAAGAAATCAACATGTCAAAGAAATCTCATTGTACACTTCACACTCCATGCAGGGACAACTACACGAAACCCATTAGTTGCTTTAGCTCAGTCACACCTGATGCAATGTTTACATTTTTTTTACCTTAACTTACCACACCAATTATTCTTTCTTAAACTGCTGATGAGCATCAAGGCCATGTCAGCAATTTACACAGACGGTTTGGATGGATGAAGATTGAATCTCTTAATTAGTTTGACTTGTTCTTTCTTTAGAAGAAGAGAAATCTAAAGTTTCTAAAGGGAGGTTTTTGTTCTGTAAGACAAGGGTGTAAGATTTTGCTTGATAAAGTGTATTGTCCTGAATTAATCCACAGCTCTAAAATAAGGAAACTTCATGGTTAACAAATAATGATTTCTTGAGTGCATTTCCATAAACATTCAAGTTTTTTTTTTACACTTCCAACATAAACTCATAATCTTATTAAATTCTGTTAATTTATAGATAATTTGGTTACATATTTCCCAGATTTCTCTATAATAGACAGGACGTTTTTTCTGAAATGAGGAAGCTGTTAGTGACCTCAGTGGATGCTTGGTGTTTATTTTTGCAGAGGCCATGAAGCAAAAGCTAAAGCCATGAGCTACTCCAGTCTAAAGCAGATATCTAAGCAAATAATGAGAATTTTCTGTAGATATTTGTAAAATGCTTACAACTCTCCGTTAAAACAGCTTATATCTCACTTGATTTGTACTGACCAGGGTGCTTTGCTTTGTAATTTCAGGTCCAGTTTCAATGAAACTACAAACCAGTGGTAAGTTCACTTTTCACGAAATCCTTTTTATGTCGTTTTTCATTTCTGCTTTTGAAATAATCAGTCTGCTGAAGGAAAAAATCCATTAGCCCGTGTTCTTCTACCGTTCACACCTGCCTTTGCTTTGTTTGCAGCCCATTTGTTGTGACCAAAGTGTCCCTGCGGGTCATGACTCCAGTGATCCTCACAGTCTTTGTCCTGGCACTGTACCTGCACGCACAGCAGGTGGAATCCACGGCGCGCCTCGACTTCCTGTGGAAACTACAGGTACAGACGCGGAAGTCCACTAGGGGGCAGCATCTGACAAAGAGCACCTTCTGATTCGCTCTTTTCTTTAGGCCACTGAACATTTTGGAGCTGGTGAAGGAAATGAGTGCATCTGCTGTGTGTCACATGGAAGCTTTTATCAAACAGCTCTAATGGAAGATATATTCCCTTCCAGGCCACAGAAGAGAAAGAAGAGATGGAGGAGCTGCAAGCCTACAATCGCCGCCTCCTCCACAACATTCTGCCCAAGGACGTGGCTGCCCACTTCTTGGCCCGTGAGCGGCGCAACGACGAGCTCTACTACCAGTCATGTGAGTGTGTGGCCGTCATGTTCGCCTCCATCAGCAACTTCTCCGAGTTCTACGTGGAGCTGGAGGCCAACAACGAGGGAGTGGAGTGTCTCCGGCTGCTCAACGAGATCATCGCCGACTTTGACGAGGTAGACGTTGCCTTTCTGTGTGGATTTTCTTCACAAGTGCAATGAACAGCCAATAGCTAAAGCGCGACCACCGTCTCCTGCGTCCTCAATTTGTAGATCATCAGTGAAGACAAGTACCGGCAGCTGGAGAAGATCAAGACCATTGGCTCCACCTACATGGCAGCCTCGGGTCTGAATGACTCCACCTACGACAAAGAGGGTCGTTCCCACATCACTGCACTAGCAGACTATGCCATGAGACTGAGAGAGCAGATGAAATACATCAACGAGCATTCCTTTAACAACTTCCAGATGAAGATAGGTGAGGGAGCAGCTCTCCCCCCACAGCAAACCAGCAAAGTTGAACCGAGTTAAAGACTCAGACGTGTTAATGGGATGCGTGTCTTTGTGTGTGTCCATGTGCTGACAGGTCTGAATATTGGGCCGGTGGTAGCAGGGGTTATTGGGGCCCGGAAGCCCCAGTATGACATTTGGGGGAACACAGTCAATGTGGCCAGTCGCATGGACAGCACAGGTGTGCCTGACCGCATACAGGTGGGTTTCAGCGAGGAAAGAAAAAATCTCAGACTGGACATTAAAAAAACATCATTGTATTGACAACTTTGTCAATTGAATTATGTTTTTTTGTTCTGGGTCTTTGTTTCTTTACCAAAATGTAAAAAAAAGATAAACAAACAAATGGAATTTACATGTGTTTTTAATCAAATTTCATTCATATTTTCCGCACATTTTTGCTATAAACTAAACTGCAAAAAGCAAAAGTTTTGACGATGTGAAGGTTCAATAGGTCTGTGGACCCTTGGTGCTATGTATGGCTTTAATGGTAATGCAGTGTTTTTATTTTTATTTTTAATGATTTGGTTGAATGCAAAAGAAACAGACCCATGATTTGAAAGGTCTGCTTAGTCCAGCAATACCTTGATGTTTTTTAAATTCTTCTCCAGAGACTATTTTTGAAGCAAATATGTAGCTATAGAGAAAATGATTGAAGGACAATTTCTGAAAAGTCCCCTGAGTACTGAAACTACCAAAACTATTCTGTTTTTCTGAAAATTTGATCAAACAAGTTTGTGTCCATCTCATCCAAGGAACACTACTGGGTTTAGTAGCTCTATTTCTGTTTGTTCTAATTTCAAGTATTTATAATATATTATTTTGTATATCAATAGTGTTTATGATAGTATTTCAGTATCATTATACTTTATTTTCCTTTCTGAAATATTTATCAGCTTTCCCATAACTCTTTTCCCAGGTGACCACAGACCTCCACCAGGTGCTTGCACGCAAAGGATATGTGCTGGAGTGCCGTGGGGTTGTTAAGGTCAAAGGTAAAGGGGAAATGACCACCTACTTCCTGAACGATGGACCCCCCAACAGTTAGCAGCCATGACAGCAACAAATGCTGGGAGGATCCCCACTGCAAGGACACGGCACCACTGAGCGAATGGCTAAATACTTCAGTCGCCATCACTTGAATCCCAAGCAGAGGAGAAAAAAAACAACAAACTTTTGAGACTTCAAAAAGGAAGGTTTTCTTGATGAGAGGGAAAAGTTCTCGATTGACAGCCATTTTGGCCCACATGTTAAAGGACACGTGTTTTTCTCATGTCTAGCCTCTCTCTCAGGCTTTCTTGAAAGATGCAAAGTCTGTTTATTTAAAAACAACGCCTTTTAGCCTGTGTCAAAAGAAGATTAATGCTGTACATAAGGCTACTTTTTATTTAATTTTTGCGTTCTGTTTTTTGGAGATTTTTATTTCACATGGATTATGAACCGGTACTCATGTTTTGTTTTTCCTCATTAATTATTTATTTCAACCTCGATGTTTTGTGCTAAAGGTCCTTTATGAAAACGTGTGAACACATACGTGCACAAATATCCAGTTTACTACACGTTTATAAGTGTGTATGTACATGCATATTTGTGTGTGTATGACTATATGTATAAACTGCGGAGGAAAAATATTGACCAAAGACTAAAGTATTTACTAAAAACAAGGCAAGACATGTTGATATGTTCTCGCTCAAGTCAGCAATGATCACCACCTCTGTTTTTCAGGCAGGGGGGCTTGAACCCACTGTCTTTGCTCGACTGTGGCAGCGAAGGCTGCTCCATTGTTTTCATAGACGACGTAGAATTTATTTATTTGGTCTGTCATTCAGGCAGCAGAGAGCAGATTTTTAATTCTAAATGATAGCATAGCCTCCAATCACGTAAAGTAAATAAAAAGAATGACTAAAAAAAAATGACCACGGATGTTATGAGAAGGTTATTATATCCTGAGATCTCTATTTTTTACCCGAGCGGTGGAGGAAGACGAAGCTACAGTAGGATCAGGATTTTCCTCATCCTCATTTCATGTCAGAGCGGCCCTCCAGAGCTCCAGCAGCCTGCGAGTCGCTGGTTTCAGTATGTCGCCACCGATTGCTCCTTCCCTTTCAGTGAGGTACTTTTTTTTTTTGGTGCAGATGGGATTGAGGGAACGCGCACTAGCGAGATGTTCCAGAGCCTCCGGGGTGGGGCCGGGGGTGGAGGGGCGGGGCGGGTGCACCCCCTGGATTTCAGCGCAGTGGCATCACGCAGCCTGATTCTTCTATGAAGAAGAAGTAGATGAAGGAAAGAAATATCTATTGATTTTGACTGAATACTGTGCTTTGTAATCCTGAAGGGGCATAACTATTTTCACTGTGAGGTTTTTATGATACAACAAAACTGCTTTCTTGCCAAACATAACTGCTTTGAAGCATGTCCGACTGTGGTATCTTTTTTTCATTTTTGTTTGTTTCAGCGTAGGGTATTTTGTATCGATTCCGTATCCATCATTTGTATATTCTTAATGTTGTTATTATTATGATGATTCTGGTTAATTATTATGCTTAATATGATGATTCCATTCCGATGAAAAGGATCAAAGACCAGCACGCTTTGTTGTAAAATGCCAGTTATAAAGCTCCAGCTCACTGGTACCACATGATCAACTGCAGCCGGTGAGTTCTGCTGTTCAGTCTCCACAAGCCACGCAGTGTGTGAGGCGCCCATAGGCCTTTCTGCGTTAGTCCAAGCAACGGCAGCAGAGCTCAAATGGTGTAGGCCCACATAATCATAGCGGCCAACACGCACAGACGCACACTTCAAACCTCTCAGCGATAAAAAACCAGATCCCTGCTGATCATCTCGTGTGAAGAAGAAGACAAGGCAGATTAGGCAGGCCAACACACCCTTTTCCTGTATTATGGCCCCTCAAACCGGTCTCCCGGCAGCGATTGGAAACACTAGTTTAATTGCCTTAAGTTAATAGAGAGCAAGTCTTACAGTAACTTCAGTAGGTAAAACATGTGCCTGTTTACCCTGCCTGGACAGCTGGTGCTCGGACAGGAACGAAAGGGCCGGCGGCTTTTCCACGGCCATTCTCAGTTAACCTTCCAATCTTTGCAGTGATCTCGGTTTTCTCCAGCACAGCTCTTTGAAATTCGGTGAATGCTCCTCGCTCACGCTCATCACTGGCAACCAACAGTTGATCACGTTTGTACCAAAGCCAGCTCATGCAGCCTTTGCTATTGGTCCCTCCTGCGCAACGATATTTGGGCTCGGGTGTGGTGGGAGCGCCAGAGGACGGAGATGTAACTGAGATTACTAACTATCATATGAACTATGACCAATGAAGAGTGATTCATTTAAGCAAAGAGTTTATAGAATGGACATGAGTTTCTAAAGATGTTCATTGTATGTATTCTATTTCTATTGGCTGTCCATAGACTTGTGTTGATTGTTAATTCTTGGGATTTTTTTTTGGGAGGGGGGGTAGGAGCAGGGAGAAAGGTTGTCCCTATACTACTGAAACAGTGTTTTGCTCAGGCCTGATAAATCCTTCCGTATTTGTTTTTTTGTTTTATTTGTATTTTTCCCTGAGTTGGAGGAGCTGAAAGGGGAGTGTTTTGCTAAGGTGAAGGGCAAGAAGAGTAGAGGACTATGACAAAGAGAAAAAGAACATTTCCCCTTGAAGAGAAAAATTAAAAAAATATCAATGGCTCCTCTGCGTGTTAATGTGTTGGCAGTGACCCCATCGGAATGGATTACAGCCACTTCATGCTAACAGAGATCAGTTGTTAAATGTGCAGAAACTTCAAAACGTCATCATGAAGTTATTTTAAAGTCTTATGCAAGAAACGATCATTGAAATCCTATTCTTAATGCAAATGACATTTCCAGTCACTCTCATTACATGACCATGATTACTACCGTAAGTTACTTTAAACAGAAGAAAAAATATCAGAGCAAGTTGTAGTGCCTCTAAACAGAGCTGTTATGGTCATCCTCCTTAGGTGACAGAGCAGTCTACTACCTGGAGTCTAACAGAATGGGAGGACGTCAACACAAATTGGACTTTTTACATACTAGAGCTAAAAGACATCAAAGCATACATAACCAACTGTAAATGATGTCAGAGGAAAAATAGGTGGGGGTATTATCGAGTATTATGTAGGGGAAAGGACGTTTAAAAAGGGTAACCCGAGAAAGACAAGCTAAAAGATAACATCAGTGTATTTTAACAGTCCAAAGACCAGTGACAGAATCCCACAAGTTTGATCAGATCAAAAACGTGCTGATCGTCTACGTAACTGTAATTCAAATGAACAGACTTGTCAGGTTACTGTGCAGACACATCGCTTTATTTGGCATGTAAGTTGTGGCTTGGAAGATATCCACAGGAAAATCCATGATGAACCTGAAAGTGGACTCCACATGCCTCAGCATGACTGCGTTGTGTCCTTCGTAGAAGGCTAGACAGCTAAGGGAAATTTCAGGACTTTTGACAAGAAAATACCTTTTTAAAAGTATTAGACCACGTTCACAACTGCTCATTTTAAGCTCAGTTTCAGCTTATATGTGCCAGTTTGTTCTTTTATTTGCTGCTTGTGTATCTCTGTATACAACTTTTAACTTCCAAGGCTTACAGTATAAGTCAATTCATAGAAATAAGAATAACCATTAATGCCGGAATCGATCAAATGAAGCATGCAAATCTCCAGAAGTTCAAGAGTTATCGGTTTAATCTCAGACATTCACATCGACACCGATGCTGCGTTTGACGTGTTGATGTTCAGGTAAAGGTGTGGTATGTGACTATGAATGATGAGAGCCATCAGAATAGGCTGAACTCCCGGTCTGTCATTGACATATCATTAACAAACCTGTAAAAGTAACAGGTGAATTAAATTCACAGAGGCCTGGCTGATGAGGAGTGAGAAGAAGAAAAAAAAAGGTTTAGTAATGTTACCCACTTGGACATCTCACTGTTCTTTCTGGGAAACCGCTTCACTTGAGTCCATGGTTCAGGGATTTTGGAAACGGACCATCCATACTGCTGGTTGTCCGTCAGAGGCATTATGTAGAGCTGGTTAGGAGCTACAGGAGAGAGAAGACATTCTTTGTTGCTGCTGTCCCGTTCTAACTCTAATCCACCATCATTTCAATGTACTATGCATCTGCCTGCTCACATCTTGGGGCTGAAGCGCGTTTGAGCATCTCTCGGTATCGGCAGTGACTCCCTTTGTGTATGTCAGTGCTGTAAGGAAGAGGCTGGACAATGTTGGCATCTGTAAATCCGGGGGGTCCCTGTAGTCTCTGAAGCGAAACAGGCACTTCTGCTTTGACACTGCCATCTGTAAAGCACGCACGTTGAAACATCACTAAAGTGCTATTTTTTTACGAAATATTCCTCTCACAATGATCATTATCCAACTGTACGATTGGGACGGTGATTGGCTGACTTTAGTTACAACAACTCATTGCTTAAGCGTGCAGCGAAACATCTGCAGGGCTGCAGGCTCCCACTTATTTACACGCTGTTCGCTTAACTAGCAGCGCGAGCGCTCACGTTAGCATGGAGCTACTAATATTAGCTTGTTGAGCACCGTCGTTGTCAACAACAGCTACTTTTCCCCCAAAAGTCAGTTAGCGTGTAGCAAGCGCTGTTGTGACACTCTATGAAGTTCAACATAGCCACCGTTGACTTCTGAGTCATTTTTAAAGCAGATTAAACAATTAGCTTAAACCCAAAGCAGAGCCCCGCCCCTCTTACCCGGACGTAGAGACGCTCCGCGGCCATCAGTAATCATTTTGTCGCCTATTGGGTTCTGGTAGCCCAGATCTGTTAAACCAAAGAATGCCATGGCGTACAACGCTTCGTTTATTCAGCTTATTGAAGCGCCTGCTGCCCGACGACAGAGGAACAAGCCCCGCAGACGGCCGTTAAACAAATCACAACTTTTAGTTTAGGTGTAACCTTGGTTACAAGCTCCACCCCCGTACAAAATATTCAAGTAAATTAGGAGAATATTTTTTTAATGAAAATAAATGAATAAATACAAATGCGTTTTTTGACTGTTTTCGCTGTTTCAAACTATTTTTTTTGCTTTCATTTCACGTCCCACAGAAAACGAAGCAAAGCACAGAAATGACTGAGTTTTTTCTCTGAGTATTCTGCTTCTGACGCCGGCTGCTTTCTTCAACTGATCCGTTTGGACTTGCAAAGGACGTGAATGAGATAGACTGCAATCATGTGCAAACCTTATATCATAGGGGGAGATGGGCAAGTAATTAGTTTAAATTTTAGTAAAGATTGGGCTTCTTACGCTTGCAAACAGTTAGTTAGTTAGTCAGTTTGTTGGAGGAATAAAAGATGGAACAAAATCTTTTAGAGATATAGATGTAAGGTAGTAGAGTATGAGAAAGGGTTAAACTTTCTGAAGAAAAAACAGCAGTAAATACCTGTGTCTGTCATGACTCGGTTATAAGTACGTCATAAATATGAAACTCTGTTGTGAAAATCACTGGATGTGCTTTGGAGCCCCCCTGGCAGAGAACACACTCAAGTTCAAATTCTTTTATCCACAGTAGCTCAGGGGCAGAGCAGTCAGCCTGCTGTTGCATGTGGAAGTAGAACACATGCCTTAAAGTTTTAGGTTTTAATGGTGTTGCTGGGGCACTGCCATTGATTGGCAGACCGCCCAGTGTGTACCCTGCCTCTCGACTATTGACAGGCACCAGTCCCCCCGGAACCCCATTTGGGAATAAGCGGTTCAGAAAATGGATGGATGGATGGATAGATGGATGGTTTTGCTGTTATCAGTTTTCCCAATATATTTGTGTGGTGATAAGATGTCTTTATCATTGGAATGGTTATATATTTGTTCCATCCTTTCGACGTTTACCAGATGAAGGCTACCGATGGTCCTATAGGAGTTTTGAGGAAGTTACTGATGTGCAATCTGTTTTTCTTTGACACATATATCACAGATTGCAGTGTATACATTGCATAAATGTATATCAACAGTTAGCCGTGAGATTTAAAAGAAAAAAACAAACAAATGAAACCAAAACTATATCTAAATTCAGGAACATTCAGTCTGATAGACAAACCACAAATGGTCTGAGTCATAAGTTTTAGTTTTCAACCGGTCTGGGCAGTTGTTCCTGCATTTACTGTTGTTGTGTGGATAGAAGCCAATAATGCCGAGCATTGGGGAAGGTAATGTATTGCACAAAAGGAAGTAGACCAGTCGTGGAGCAGTGGAACTACATGACTCCCTTCAGCAAACAACAGTAAGTACTGATTTATTTGTGTTATTTGAGAATTAGTCGTTTATCTTCCATACTATAATTGTAAACATAACTGAGAGACTTCAGAAAAATCTCACCACAGAAACTCAATCATCAGGCTTTCATTGGTACCTTTTTATATGTATGACACCATGAACATTGCATGTTGTAGATTCAACGTTCACATAAATTACTAGGGTTTAAATTTAATTACTGTACTCTGATACATTAAAATCACAAATGAATAAATGTTTTAAAGGATTATTTTTGTATGATATCTAACTGTTTCATAGTATGTTTTGTTTCTTTTCATGATCTCCATAATAATAGATCTTATATGATTTCTCTTTATTTCAGGTTGGCATTTACCTGTGAATATAATGCGTTTCTGCTGTTGCAGATGCGTGCGTCCAGTAAAGTTAGCAGTTCTCTGCTTTTTGGTTCTGTTTTTTATAATATACAATACAAACCATTCAGTCATGACACTGTCATCCCTCTTCCCTTTTGGAAGCACATTGAGACTCAAAGGATCGATTCCTGAGCATGATGGCACATTTCCACATCCCTCAGCTCCCAGCTGTCCTCCTGGGTTTTACAGGGAAGAGGAACTCAGACCTCACCTTCAGAGGCCTCTGCAGGATCCCAGGGCACCGGGCGCAAACGGGAAAGGATTTGAACCACATTTGATGACACCCGAGGAGCACAAAGAGAAAAAACATGGGTTTGATAAAAACCAGTTCAACCAGTTTGCTAGTGATCGTATCTCCCTGCATCGTGACCTGGGTTCTGATACACGACATCCCGAGTGAGTAACCCCTCTGCTTGTTATGATCTCAGTGTGAGAATCACATTTGATTGTTGATCCTCACAAGTCAAGGGGATGTGCACATCTTACATAGCTGCTCCCCGTTAACTTCCAGTTTGGCTCTGACAGCTGCTTGGAACAGAAGTTTTGGCGTTGTCCCGGTCTGCCGACCACCAGTGTGATTATTGTGTTCCACAACGAGGCCTGGTCCTCTCTGCTCAGGACAGTCTACAGCGTTCTGCACACAGCTCCTGCAGCCCTTCTCACAGAGATCCTACTGGTGGATGATGCAAGCACAGAGGGTGAGCATGTTTAAAGTTTTACCCCCCAAATGCAGACTGCTCATGTGGTCTACGTCTGACTGATTGCATAAACAGTGCCGTGCATAGAATGCGATGTTCTGAGATGCCGCCACTGTCCAGATGCTTCTGATCTACAGTGGGTTATTAAAGCTGCGTTGGCAACTTCAAATAAATCAGTGACTGAATGGGCCTATAGTTTGCAAAGACAATTACGTAGATTGGAATATGGATAACATACTATTCCTCTCTGCACAAAAAAAAGCAAGTTTAAGAAATACCCTGGAAATAACAGGCGACCCTGTTAATGGCTTAAAATGTGCAATACAGTGAATGGACTGGGAGACAAATGTTCAAGAAATGCAGTTCTCAGTATCCCTAAAATCTCTGCTAAGTGTCAGTACTTAAAACTGTGTTCTTGCTTCCACAGACACAAATCTTCAAAAGACTTGATTCTTTCCTGTTTAAAAAAAGTAACTCTCACGTTTTCTGCTCTCAGATTATTTAAAGGCTCCTCTTGATGAATATGTGAAGCAGCTGCTGATTGTTCGTGTTTTACGTCAGAGGGAGAGAAAAGGCTTGATAAATGCCAGGCTGATGGGGGCGCGGGCTGCACGAGGGGAGGTCCTCACTTTCCTGGATTCCCACTGTATGTAATTGAGGAGTGTTTTTGAATAACTTGTCTGTAAGTCAGGGTAATGCAGCCATTATCTGGTGCTTTGTGTTTTTCAGTAGATCAAGAATAGAAAATAATGAGGCACAAAGGAGGCTTGAGCAAAAGATTTCTCCTCACTAGACACTGAAAACAATTCAAAATTGCTCTCCTTCAAATTTGTGCACAGGTGAATGCTTCACTGGATGGCTGGAACCTCTACTGGCTCGGATTACAGAGCAGCCAACAGCCGTTGTGAGCCCAAAGATTACAACTATAGATCCCAATGACCTGAGGTTCCTCAAACCAAAACCTATAACAAAGCATTACAGCCGAGGAAACTTTGACTGGAGGCTCAAGTTTGTATGGGAGGCCGTCCCCGAAGAAGTGAAGAAGCAGAGGAAGAACGAGACCTATCCCATCAGGTAGATACCAGTAGATAAAAACATGCTAAGGAATGATTATGTTCCACTATTTTGAGGCCACCCAACAGGTATCAAGGGATGATTACAACTGCTCAAACTACAGTCCTACTTGGCACAAATATCTGATATATTAATTAGATGTGTTGTTTTTACGTCACTCGAATTATATCAAACTCAAAAAGATAACTGGTTTCGGTTACAGCTATGTGTTATTTTATTTATTTTATTTTTAACCTACAAGCAAGCAAAGCAAAGAGTAATTCCCGAAAAACCACCATAAAATCCGATTAAGTACAATGAGAGCATGTTACTGATTTAAGTTACATTTCGCAGAACTCCTACTTTTGCTGGAGGCCTGTTCTCTGTCTCTAAATCCTACTTTGAACATATCGGGACTTATGACGACCAGATGGAGTTCTGGGGAGGGGAGAATTTGGAAATGTCCTTCAGGGTATGAAATGGTCGGTCTTTGAAACAAGTCAAATGAAGTTCTAAAGGTTCCCTTTTGAATAGTGTATGTTGTCTGCTCTGCAGGTCTGGCAATGTGGGGGCCTTTTGGAGATCATTCCATGCTCGGTTGTAGGGCATATCTTCCGAACAAAAAGCCCTCACACTTTTCCAAACGGGAGCGCCGTCATCATTCGCAACCTGGTCCGCTTGGCCGAGGTCTGGATGGATGACTACAAATGGGTCTTCTATCGTTCTAACAGAATGGCTGCCTCTATTTCTAAAACGGTCAGGATAAATGTACAAGATCTTTACAATCCAGAAGAAAGACGTATTGTTATTTTTGGCCTTGAGCTGCTGGAACTATGGCACAACATTGCTTTAATTTAGCTTGTTTATTTCCCCTCAGAATTCATATGGAGACGTTTCAGAACGCCATAAACTCAGGGAGAGACTAAAGTGTGCAAACTTTTCATGGTACCTGAAAAATATCTACCCTGAAACCTACATCCCTGATATCAGACCTGTCAAATATGGCCAGGTGATATAAGCTTGATTTGCTTGTTTTTAAAGTCTAAATAATTTCTATGAATGGTTTCTTTGTAAAAATGTGGAAATATGTGACATGCGTCATTAGGATTTTAAATGGAAAAACTTTTGCAAAGTACATGGATGCTATGAACTTGACTGTTGACTGTTCCACATTTTGCTGTCTGATGACTTGCAGTTAAAAAACACTGGTTGGAACTGCCAGCTGAATGTTGAGAAGAGAAAAAAACCATGGGAGTCCGGCCAGAAGTTCAAATGCAACAAAAACCCTAAGGCACAGGTATTACACCTTTTTTTGGATCAATAAAATCTGGAGTTGTCTAGACCTATATTGTAAAGGTACTATCAGGAACAGAAAATAAAACATCTGTGAAGTGACTCTTCTAAGTTTGTATGTTAATGTACAGTTAACTTCCTTTCTTAATATATCTTTAATTTCTTGTGATTTCTAGTATTTTGAGTACACATCCCAAAAAGAGATACGACCAAGTGCTGGCATTGAGTTTTGTTTACATGCGACCCTTGAAAGAAGGACTTCTCTTGAACTGTGTCAGAAGAGGGGAAAAGCTTTCGAAGAACAGATTTGGATTTTCACGCTGGTAATGTTTGTTTTACTTCTTCATCTTGTATCATGCATCTTATTTACATGTCCCTTTAATGCCCTGATGCCTTAAACCAAATTGCAAAGAAAACTTGCAAAGGAGAGAAGGAAAAATGGATCACATATAATTTGCAAAAAGCCAAAACTGTGAGAGATGAAATAAAAAACAACAACATTTTTTACTCTTGTTTTCAGACAAACCAACTGATGAACCCATCATTAGGGAAGTGCTTGGCTGTTGAAGGAAACAACATAATTTTGACCAGATGCAGCTCCACAAGAAGGGAGCAAAGCTGGACGTTCATTTGAGACTGTGTGGGACTCACATTGGACTCACATTGTGTCATATGTATTTAAATAGTCACTGGTTCCTTTATGAGGTTGTCACATTGCAGACAAGGGATGAATCCAATCCTTGTTCTTTTTAATTTGACCCTTTGAAGCTGATTTTGATAAGAGTAGCCCAGAGGATATTATTCAAAGATGCAGTCTTTTTTATAACAAATTGTCCTTTCTGTCCATAGGTGTAATGTGACTTAAACAGGACAGAGTGTCTTTGTAAACACAAAGAGATCATTTTGAGAACAGCCTCTAGCTTTGATTCCTTCTTGCGCTTCCGATGAGCTTCAGCTATGCTTCAGAAATCATTTAGGACTGTGACATTCTTCTGTTCAGTATGTAGGGGCACAAGAAGAAGATCATAGCCTGAATGAAGAAAAGGATGTGCTGCAGTCTGGCTTTGTGACATCAATCTGTACTGAAATGACACTTCAAATCTGGTGTTATTCTCTCTATTATTGTTTTTTTTTATCATCAGCAAAAAAGTTCCTACAACAAAAATCGACCTTGATCTGATACACCTGCGTAGTTTTGTCAGTATAAAAGATTCCCCTGAACAATAGTTCTTCATTGTATTGAGTCATCAGTGAGCCATGTTGTCACACTAAATTATATTTTCCTTTTTTTATGATGAATATGATACATCATACATTTTTGAATTCCTCCGATGTGGGACTACTGAAGTTTATCTTGTCTTATTTGGTATTGTGACTGAACCCCCAAGGGGATTTTGCTTGATGATTGAGCTACAATTACCATGAACCAAAAATATAAAGTAAAGTAATTCGCTCTTAATAGTAACTATGAAAGACATTATTTACAGTACTTACCTACTGCTAACTTGATTCTCTGTTTTTGTTTACACTGTGAGCATACCTGAAAAAGGGACAAACTAATATAACCTTTAACCTCAAAATTAAATTGTCATATTTTATTTGTGTTTTATTTTCATATTCAAAGTACAAATAGTCTGGAATGATCAGATCTTGAAACTGTTTAAACTTTTTTTAAGGTTGGCTAATGGACAACCGTTCCTCTGCAATTTTGTCAGAATTACCTCCTTGCAACGATCAATTTGTGGTAATAGTCAAAAGAATATAGTATATGACTTGAAATTAACCACTTGATATTAGAATATGTATATGCCACAAACTATATTTAGACAGGGTCCAAACTTAGGAAATTAGTCTAAAATGGACATTTAATATCAGAATCAGAATCAGAATCAGAATCAGAAATACTTTAATAATCCCAGAGGGAAATTATTTTTGTTACAGGCTCCATAAGCAAAATAAAACAAAGGCATATACATATGTACATGTCTATACATATATACATATATATATACAAAATTCCTCATAAATATAGCTAGATATATACAAAATGAGAGGTGGATAGTGTCAATGATTAAGATTGACTCTCAGAGGGAAGCGTTGTACAGATTGATGACCACCGGCAAGAAGGATTTCCGGTGGCGCTCTGTGGTGCATTTGGGTGAGAGGAGTCTTCTGCTGAAGGAGCTCCTCTGTTGGGCCAGTGTGTCGTAGAGGGGGTGAGACACATTGTCCATGATGGACTTAAGCCTGGACAGCATCCTCCTCTCTGCCACGGTCGACAGAGTGTCCAGCTCCTCCCCTACAACATCACCCGCCTTCTTGATCAGTTTATTTAGTCTATAAAAAGGTTCATACTGGACTTCATAAATGTTGCTATAATCATGACATCCCACAGTATTAAAGACAACAGTCTTGTGTTTTTGGATTCTGACCATGTCAGTTATCAGCATGCTGCTGATTCCAATAAAAGACATGTAGTCCAGACTTTTATTTAATTTTCGTCAGCACAAGACGAATGTGTGTAAACTTTGAAAGTGATCTAAAAAAATGAAACTGAAAAACGTATTGTTTTCACTCTAATTTAAAGACGTTTCATAAATCAAACAAAAATCAATTTGGATGTGCAATTATATTGTCAGCTACATTGCACCTGCAGTGCTTTTGTCTCTTTCATATTGTGAGGCCAAAAGGGAGATCGCTCACACTGTTTTGCTTTAGAGAGCTTGGTTTAGAGTGAACCTGCATGTACTCTCTATTATATTGGAAATTACTAATTACAATCAGGGTTAGTCTTTAGGGGAGTTAAAACTGTGTCCGAGGTACGTTAGAATTGTGTGGGCACCTGCGGGGGTCTGAAGGCGGAGCCTGCACAGATAAGCACCGCCCATCTGTTGAGTCCGTGACGTCAGAGGATTCGATAGTGATGGGATCTCGAGCGAGCGCTGGTGAGTTTCTCTCAAACCAATAAAATCTCTCAATTCTGCCTTGTCACTTCAACAGGGAAGTAGGCTGAACACAAGAAATGCGAAGCGCCGGGCTGGGCTATTGTTGCAGGAAGTGTTCGTAAAAGGCTGCGTCCCCTTTGCGAGTTTGCTCAGGGTTTATCTGGCAGGTTGTCATCTTCTTAACGGACCTGTGAGTAGCTGTAGTATTCGCTCTACTTGTGTTTCTTTTTCTTTTTTTTCTTCTCAAGGTGTATGTTAGCTAGGCGTAGGCTAGAAGCTGTTCGATACCTGTAAATAGTTGTAGGGTTTGTTTTCTGTCAAGTCATTGCAGAATGTGTGTGAGAAAAGGGGCTAATGACAAGGCGAAGATAAAGACATTGTTGTCCTCTTTGATATTAGCTTAATCTGGGCTCTACCATCATGGCTGCTAATAGCTAGCGGTCCATTTAAAAAGCACTTTTGTGTAACGTAATGTCATGTTGTGGTGACCTAAGATGTTGACTGAGCGCATCCTACTTTGTCACGTTGTTATTCGGTAAGGTTGAGCCCTCTAAATACGGGATTTGAGGATTTAACTAACATCATTATGGTTTGTCGTTTTTGCTAAGCTATTTCGGGGTAAAGAAATCACCTGACAAAAAATCCACATGACGGTGTTTGGGTGTTAGGGATAACATGTAGTCGGTTACATTATATATACCTGGCGACAGCTTTTTACAGGGAGACTTAGCACATCAATCAGTGAAATTCCATCACGTAAAAAAATGAAGAAGTCAGTGGTGAAACTACTCACCAAACCAGAACTTCCTGAGTGAAATCAATAGAATTTAGAAATGGGAGGAATGTAACTTTTTCTTTTCTCCTTGATTTCTAACCCGATTTCCGTCTGGTTAAACACCGAGGTCTGTTTTCCAGAGTTTAAGGAGATGTATTAAACTATATTTGTTATTGTGCAAGTGCCAAAACGTTCAGTTTGTAAGGACTAAAGTCAAGAAAAACGAGAAAAGTGAAGAATATTGGGTTCCACTTAAAGTTGCACCAGATCAAACACAAAGTGAGGGCACACCTGTCCCATTTAAAGGGTTTTTTTTCTTCAGTTGTAGTATTATTGATCATTTACAGTTAAACTGAGTTTCCACAAAACTATGAGGTGAGCTAATATAGGTGTTGCTTTTCTTATTGTTGATGGTATTTGAGACATTTTCAAAAAAGTTATAATCTGAAATGTTCATATGTTAGCATATTTTTTCATCTCCTTTTGTGTATTGTATCAGGATAATCTTGCAAGTTGCCTTACTGGGCTCCTGCACTAGACTAAAACAACAAAAAAACACAATTGGAAGGTCATACAGACCTAAACACAAGAAAAGCCCACCAAACGTCTAATAGAATTCAGTGCTCATGTGGACTGCCTTGGAAAAGACAGAACACTCTGTTCTGCAGCAGCACACTGCACATGCTTAAGGAAACGGCATTAATTGAGCCTTCTGAAAGAAACAAATAATTGAGTTTTAATTAATTTTCTTTAAATCACTGGCAATAGCCACCGATGGATTTTTACTATGTTGAATGGATTATGTCAAACAGACCTGGGCTGACATCTATAGCTGTGGTCATTCTGGAGAACAGCAGCCAAACATACAGCAGTAGTCCTAAAGAACAGTTCTCTGAACTCATCCTGCAATACAAGTTCTGATGTCTACATCACAAGCTTCACAGCCGTTACATGAGCCTATATATATATATATATGTATATATATATTTATATATATATATATATATATGAATATTTACGGTGTTTTCTTAGTCATACTCCCTTTCCTTTCTCTTTTTTTTATCGTCTCACATACTGGGTTTTACTAACTTTTCAGTCATTATTTGTGGTAAACATGACAGCTACATACACCAGGTAGATTGGACAAAAAATGAATCTTTGTTTGATTTTTTTCTGGTGTTCCATTTTTTTCTGATTTTCTATTTTTCAGAGAAAATGAGCAATATTCCCCTCTCCCGGTCTGAGGTATTTGGGGAGCTGAGGAAGGAGCTGCATGAAGATGTGGAATTCCGTCAGTCCGACGTTCACGTCTTCATCATAATGGGCGCCTCGGTGAGCTATCTGTGAACTCATTGTCCTGTTGTTGTTATTACCCTGGTAAATTAACACTGTAGATAAAATGTGTTGAAATAAAAAAAAAAAAAAACAATAATTGCACAAATTGACGATTTACCTAACCTTCTGATTAGGTAAATCTGGAAACGGACTTCTAACTTCTGCAAACAAGTACCTCTTGGTACACTTTCAAAACTCTGTGAAGCAGTAAAAACCTCAAGGTTCCTCCTATAATTTCGACACAAGTTCTGCTAAGGTCATCTTTCAACGAATTTCAAGAATTCTTTTATCCTTTAATTATTTTTTGTATTTTATTTCAGAAACAAAATGTCTTTGTTCCTTTTTGGTGTATATTGACACTCCAAATTACATTTGAGTTTTCCTGCATAAACATTTTGCTGCTCGCTGCCTAAAATTGATCAAAGTTTATGGAGGTTAGTTTATTCAGATCAGTTTGAAAGAATACAAAGAAAAATGTCCTGTTCTCTTGCACACGTTTCCTCATACTTTTTAAATGCTGTGTTAAGGAAGTAAACCATTTCTGGGATTTTAAAACTATGCATTTCCTTCTCTCTGTCTGGGGTTACATTTCAGTTAATCTTCCTTTTACGCTCTCTTCCTCATGGGTTTCATGTAGTGTATAACTCTCCTTCCTCTTCAGTTGTTTCTATTGTTTAAGGAGCACTGATACCCACATCCATTCAGTTACCTGTTCACAATAAATCTTTTTTATGTGCCATCACCTTAAGAAACATTGTTTCAGTTACCACTGAAAGGTATTGTTAGGATAGCTGAATTTAATTAAAAGTCATTTGGCCATGTTACAGCCGTTCTCTGTATGGCTGTGAGCTCTCTCTTTGTAGGACAGAGTCGCTCTGTGGCCTGTTTTTTGCAGAGTCACCGTCTGTCAGCATTTTTCATTCAGAGCAATCTGCTGGCAGATCAAGGTCGGGGCTGGGCTGTTTAGCTGCCTCTCTCTGGCAGTGCTTGTTTTATGGGTGCATTTGTGGACATGCAGAAAGCAACTCAATGTTTTATCACACAGTCCAAACATCTAAAGACCAGCTTAAATTCAGTGATCTTTATTTAGTTATGTGGCAGCTGTGTCTGAGGCTATAAATGTATTTATTCTTTATTTAATAGTTTCTGTTACAAGTAACAGCAATGTTTGTGGGTGAGAAAATGTGGGTGTAAGGGCTTATTCAAAGCACAAAACCTTAAATAAAGTGGGCTTTTGCTCTATTTGGGGCTCCAAGTTGAGAATGAGTCATTTAGATTTACATTAGGTGCATCTTAAACTTTGAGATGTCTTTTAAGCTGTCCATTGTAAGGAGAAATTCTTGTTTGCCAAAATTCACAAGTCCACGCCTAATCCTTTCAGATTGTATTACCTGGGACGCCAGGCCTTTGTCTGGCACACAGCTTTACTCTTTTACTTGTGAAACACAGATGGTATTGTGGTTCAATTCCTAAACTAGCAGGTTTTTCAAGCCGATTTAAGGAAGCAGTTGGGCAGTCTTCTGTGTCTTACTGGTCGACATTTACTTCCAGTGGGATTACTGAGGTTGCGCAATTCTTGAATAAGCCAAAGCTGCCTACTTATCTGTCACAATATGGTGTCACAGGTAATACTTTAGCATCTTAAGAGTCGAATGTAATGGAACAAGAGTACTTTTCTAACAGATATATGGGGGTTGTAGACTTAGACAAAGCATTAACGTTTAGTGACTGCTCACAGAAAATCTTGAAGGTGCTATCATATTTTCTGAATGTCATTTGCACCTGCAGGGGGATCTGGCAAAGAAAAAGATCTACCCCACTCTTTGGTGAGTGACTCTCAGACAGACAGCTAAGCCTGTTTAAATATACCTTTCTGAACTGGAGCCTCAGATGGGGGGGCATAAAGCACTGAACGATCCTCTGCTCTCCCCAGGTGGTTGTTCAGAGATGGCCTCCTCCCCGAGCAGACATATTTTGTGGGTTTTGCTCGCTCTGACCTGACTGTTGACGCCATCCGCACTGCTTGTATGCCGTACCTTAAGGTAAAATTGGGCCTTTAAATGAGACGGTAAATTATATTATTCTGCTCTCTCAGTGACATTCAGCACTTTAATGTTTACATCCTTTGGAACAGGTGACGGATACAGAAGCAGAGCGATTGTCGGCTTTCTTCACCAGGAACACGTACATCAGTGGAAAATATGCTGATGAGAGCTCCTTCTCCAAGCTCGACACGCACATCCTGTCTCTACCCGGAGGAACCGAAGCCAACCGGCTCTTCTACCTGGCACTGCCACCTACGGTCTACCACGATGTTACCAAGAACATCAAGCATCACTGCATGAGCACAAAGTCAGTTGGAACGTCACTCACCGATTGTAGATGGGTCACACTGACTCTTTTCCCTCTCTTGTCCAATGGGCAGCAGCAGGACTCAAACTCCAGGGATGAGGGTGGCAGTTTGTTCTGCTGTGCTACAGCCAGCCAAAATGTGCATCTTTTATTGTTATGATTCACAGAAATTCCTCTTTGCTGAAATGAGAACAGTTAAATGAATATTTCTACTGCACTTGAGTAAAACAGTGGATCTGGTATCTCTTAACTGACCATGATAACAAGAAATATTGTCATAATGATGTAGATTGATTAAAAAAAAAATATATATATATATTAAATTAAGCGATGAGCTGGAAATGTTCTCCTGGGCCCTGGAAAAAGTACCCATGTTTTTAAACTTTTCACAAACTGAACATTGATGGAGTTTATTAAGAAAAAATGTCTGCATATTTCATAAGTTGATTGTGTGTTGAACGTAAGGAAAAAGTAATGTCTGTCTGTGTCTGTGCGTTGTCTAGGGGCTGGAACAGGGTGATTGTAGAGAAGCCTTTTGGACACGATCTGCAGAGCTCCGAGGAGTTGTCCGCTCACCTCTCATCCCTCTTCACTGAGGAGCAGATCTACCGTATAGATCATTATTTGGGCAAAGAAATGGTACAGAACCTGATGGTGCTCAGGTAGGAAAACAACAAGTTTTCCAGCTTGTATTTATCTAACAAGAAGTGCTTTGCAAAACTTCCTGATAATTCAGTAGGAGCTCATATAATCTGAATAATGCAACACTTCATGTTCAGCTGGCTTGCCCCCAGGAGTAAAATACAATATGAATAGAGGTTGGTTTCCAACCCAGAACAACAGTGAAGGTACTGCGTGCTGTCAGTAACAGCTTTCCTGTGTGCTGCTGTCATGTCATACCCACTGCAGGTTTGGAAACAGAATCTTTGGGCCCATCTGGAACAGGGACAGCGTCGCCTGTGTTGTCCTCACCTTCAAAGAGCCGTTTGGCACTCAGGGACGAGGGGGCTACTTTGATGATTTTGGCATCATCCGGTGGGTAGAAAAATTCTTATTAATTCCATTTATTTAGGTTTCAGCCTGAGAAGTCTCAGTGCTCTCAGACAAAGTTCTGACAAGTAGACTTGGAGAATTGTTAGTCCCCAAGTTTAAAATCCTATAAAATCATTCTATGAAATCCTTCTATAAAAAGTAGAATTGGTGGCTGTTGACATTCATGAATAAGGAAAGAGAAACGAGTTGAAGCTGCAATAAAGTGTACCACAAAACAGTTTCTCATTGTACATTTTCCAGCTTGTGACTCCAGAAGAGTCCTGACTTTTAACAAATCAATTCCAGCCGCCAGCGTCCTGGTCTTTGTGTGACCTCCTGCTCCCTTTGTTTTGATCAGAGATGTCATGCAGAACCACCTTCTCCAGATGCTGTCCTTGGTCGCCATGGAGAAACCAGCGTCCACCAGCTCCGATGACGTCAGGGATGAAAAGGTACGGGCACTTCATTCTCTGTGGCTCCTCTGACGGGACTGACCCGCCCACCTTTGGTGGAGTAGGTTTACCTGTGGGAAGATTCAGCAGGTCCCTGTGTGTTTGCTTCTCTTAGGTGAAGGTGCTGAAGTGCATTGCTCCAGTGTCCATGTCAGACGTGGTGCTGGGACAGTATGTGGGGGATCCAGAGGGGGAAGGAGACGCTAAATTGGGCTACCTCGATGACCCGACAGTACCTAAAGGATCAACTCAGGCCACTTTTGCTACAGTGGTGCTTTATGTGAACAATGAACGCTGGGATGGTAAATACGCCTGTTTCTCTGTCTTTATAAAAAAAAAAAACAATTTTAAATGCAAGTTTTATGTTTTGTCCCCCCCATTTTGCTCCTTCATATGTTGAACTATTCCATAGGTGTTCCTTTCATTCTACGCTGTGGAAAAGCTCTTAATGAGAGAAAAGCCGAAGTGCGGCTGCAGTTCACGGATGTCCCAGGAGACATTTTTGGAAATCAGTGTCGAAGGAATGAGCTGGTGGTGCGCGTGCAGCCCAACGAGGCCGTCTACGCCAAGATGATGAGCAAGAAGCCCGGCGTTTACTTCAGCCCTGAAGAAACCGAGCTGGACCTCACCTACAAGAGCAGATACAAGGCAGGCCCCAGTGGATTTATTTATTATCTCTGTTCATATCTCCACTTAGGATAAACCCATTATTACATTTCTCACTGTTATTACCTTAGATACCAAACACTTTGTGTCCTATGCTAGACTGATTGAATCTCAGCTGTAAAACCTTAAACAGAACTATGTTGTAAGATCACATTTTTAAGCTTTCCAATTCAACACAAAGTAATGTTCAAATCTTTTTTTCTTTCAGGACGTGAAGCTTCCAGATGCTTATGAGCGTCTCATTCTGGACGTGTTCTGTGGGAGTCAGATGCATTTTGTACGCAGGTCAGTCTCCGCTGCCTCACTTTACTGCTCGTTTGTGGGATTTGTCCTGTAACAGGAGCCTTCCAATAGATGGCACCATAGTGCCTCTTTACTCTGCCTCAGCAAGCAAGGTCCACTTGCTGAAACCTTTCTTCTGTTTTGCTTGACGTCTCTTGAATCATTGATGTCTGCAGTGATGAACTAAGGGAAGCATGGAGGATTTTCACCCCTCTCCTTCATCACATAGACAAAGCGAAGCCACAGCCCATTCCTTACAAATATGGAAGGTGGGGAATGTTTCTCACTATGTGCTCAACTACAGGACAATTCTGGTAATGCCAAATATTGAGTCTATTCTTTATCTTCTTTTGTCCCTTAGCCGTGGGCCCACAGAAGCAGATGACCTTGTACAGAAAGTCGGATTCCGCTACGAAGGCACTTACAAATGGGTGAACCCCCACAGACTTTGAATTGGGATAAGATGAGGGGGTAGAGGTAGATTAGGAAGGGTGCAGCAGGGTAAGTGAGCTATCATGTTTCAATACTGGAGTGTCTTAGAGAAGGGAGATGTTTACAGCATGTGGGTGCATTGAGGAGAGGAATAAGAAAGAAAAAAACTGTCCAAACATGATGATCTCAGGTATAGCAGTTATTCTTTGGAGCATGCTCAACAAACATTTTAAATTCACATTGTGTGCTTACACCACTGTGGTGGTGCTGGTTTTTATTATTTTCCTTCTTCATACATTCAAAGCAACTTAAAAAATCTGAGTCAATGTTGGGACCATTCAGCGTTTGATTAACACTGGACCATATATGAGGAGACATTTTGAACAAGGACTAATTTTCTGAACTGTGTCTTAAGCAAAAAAAACCAAAACAGCAATAAACCAGCTGGGGCACACTCGGCTTACGCAGACACAAGGAGGACTGAGTATGTCCAACTGTCGCTTATTAGCTCTGAATGTAAACTGTCATTCTTTCACTGCATTGATAAATAACAAATAGGAAGTTTTATTTTCCCAACTTGTCCTCTCTTTTTGCCTACTCTGTCATGGACCAAGGACATGGGAAGATAAACACTGTAGCTTGTCAAACATGATACAGGCAGTGCCTCTTTGAAGCATTTATCCTGTAATATTCCTGTCTGTTTTTTTTTTTCTTTCCTGCCCCACATTTAAGTTGAGTTAACATTCCTATTTTAAAATATCCAGACAGCAGCCGTTTCTGCTGCAGGTCACTGAATGTCTGTGATGGAATACTGAATGCTGCTGTCCACAGCACGCTCATGTAAAGAGTGCTATGCTTCATTACAACTTGTAATAAACTAGCTGTGCTTCTGTTACAGTTTTATGGCAGTTCTTTTTCTTATTTTTTATAATAAATATATATGACTGGTTGAATTAAAGTTCCAGAAGAGATCAACATAATGTTTAGAAAGTCAAAGAAGGCTAGCGCATTTGTTATTTGCAGGTTCCTGCTGTGCTGTTGAGCAGTTGAAAAACAACTCCAAGCAAGATTTGACATCAGAATTTATTTATGCATTTAAAGCGAGATCATATCCAACACAAATGAGTAAAAACTAAATGGTGTCACCATTGTGGCAGGATCACAGTAAACAGATGGCATAGTGGGTGTGGACTTAAAAGGGGTAATTCTGACCATAATTGAACCGGTTCAATTCATGATAATGGCTCCAAGAATAAGCAGCTGCAGCAAAACTCTTGAAGTTCTCCAAAAGAACATTTTTATTTAGCTAATTATTTCAGTATCTGTTCTCGAACATTTCGGAATAAACTCAGAAATCAGCTGCCGTGACTGGTCCTCTTGTGAATTATTAGACACCACTCAATGGTGACATCATTCATTTTAGATTCACTGCTCATCCTCAGACTTCTTTGCGTTTTCTTTGAGTCAATATTTAAGAATCAATTAAGAAAAATAAAGTGCCAAAACTTGGCAACCATGCAGTTAAAGGCACATTAGCTTGGTTTAAAACGGTTGCTGTGCGTTTCACAGGATTTCCTTTACAGTACAGGGTGAAACTCTCAAAATATGTAGGTCACATATAACAAAGTGAGGTATTACAACTGAGATCAACTGACTGGGTGGACAGGCATTCGCTGGACGGTAACATTAGAAATCTCTACTGAAGGCTTTGAGTAACTGAGTGGATTACGTACACCATGGAAAATGAATGGCAGTTACATGCGAATTAAACACGATATTGTATGAAACTCGGAATACTCTATTAGTGTTAGTTTAAAAACCGGACACCGTGCATTATTACTAAAGCTGAATATTAAAAAGGGGGATTATCATGCAGAAAACTCTCGAATTTTCAGCATCCAACTTGAACAGAGAGGAGACGCTTCAAGCTGAGGGAGAGCAGAGCCAGCTTAACATGGATTCACATTAGAATGCGTCATCCCTCCAGTGGTAAGGTTCCCTGTCTGAAAAGGCACTCTGTTTTTTTTTTGTTTTTTTTAGGGGGGTGGGGGTCTTACATGTGTTCTGGGTGGTTCTGCAAACAGCTGATGAACTCTGTGACGGGATGGCCCTGAAAGCAGATCTGATAGACGGCGTTGAACAGCGGAAACCTGCAGGAGGAGGAGGAGTGTTAATGCTCCGCACGACCGCGCCCGCACGCGCCTCGCACCTCCGTGCTGCTCCACTTACTTGTCTATCAGGTTCTTGTGCTTGAGGATGAGGTACACCTCGGCGGCGGTGGCCGGCCCCTGCAGCTTCTGCCCGTTCAGCATCTCCTTCTCCAGAACCTCGATGGACTGGTTTGAGACACAGAGCGGGCTTTAGCTTTAGGAAAGCTTCCAGTTAAACGAGTCGCAACATGACAAATGAAGCGGCTCCGTGATAAAGACCTTTCCCGTCTTGGCGAAAGCTTCGGCGACTCTGCGGTTGCGGCCGCCGTAGCAGGTGGTGATGAGGTCGGCCACCCCGCAGCTCTCCAGGAAGGTGGCCGAAGAGACGGGCCCGGCTGTGCAGAAAATGCGGGCGAAGGCAATCATCTCCATCAGGCCCAGCCGGATGACCGCTGCCTTTGTGTTGTCCCCGAAGCCCAGGCCGTCACAGAAACCCGCACCCACCGCGACTATGTTCTGCAGCGAGGGGGGAGGAGGAGGGGAGGGGGCACACCAAACTTATCCAACCCATCAATCAAAGGACCAGCTTCCTCCTCATTAAATGTGGAGCGTTAATCACATCCCTTTATCCCTCTGAGCTTTTTAGAGATTATAACCTCAGTCTGAGTGAAATTGGGTTGTCCTTCGTTTTTATCCACCTACACTGAGGCTTTCATGTGGGTACATAACTCTGGATAACGCACTCCTCCTCGGCAGGCATTCACTGATTTATTACAGAGGCCCGGCTTGTTGGTGAACAATCTCACCAGAATCACGACATAAACTCAATGGACCCTTATTGTTACATGCAACTAAGCATTGCATTTATACCCATAAATCAGTGGTTTAGAATAGTTAGATCCAAATATACAACAATCTACAAAAGGTTTGTTTGTTCTCCTCGGAGCTCGTTTTCATTCACAAAGTGGACCCCAGAGAAATGGAACTTACTCACTGACCTTCAGAGCTCCACAGATTTCCACCACGTCGTACTCCTCTACAACAGTTACTCGAAAATTGCTGGTCTGCATCAGCTCCTTGAGGAGAGCTCCATGGTTTTTATTCTTACAGCCTGCAACAGAGAAATGGGATGCTTTCAGCATGGGAAGCCAGCTCTGCTCCTGAAATGTAATCCTTTCCAGAGAAGTGTGTTTTATACAGCAAATCCCCAGCGGAATGTAGATGCACAAAAAAAAAAGAAGGAAAAGGAAATGTCAAAATCAAAGATTAAACTTTCACCCCAGAGCCAAGAATGCAGAAATAATAGCCTGCTTTATTGGATCCTTGGTCCTTGGTTGAAATTGGGAACAGAAAACAGAAACGGGAAAACGAGAGCCCTGCTGTTCCCCGCTAGCTCACCGATGGTGGTTTCACAGAACTTCTCGTCGGCGACCTCGTTGGCGATGTTGGCGCCCATCAGCACGCTCATGGTGATGCCCAGCTTCTCCTGGATCACGTCGGAGATGAGCTTGAGGCCGTCGGGCCCCTCGTCCACCCCCTGAAAGCATGGCAGGACGCATCTGGCTCAGACACCCTGCGGAGCCCGCTACAGACCTCTCTCCACACCGCTCTTATCTGACCGCAGCAGCTCTTATCAGAGAGCAAAGTCTAACCTTGATGAGGGATATTCCCAGGGCATCACTCTTAATCCGGCCCTTTATAGTGTCGCACACTTTGCCCACAAACTGATGTGGGATCACAAACACCAGGATGTCGGCGTCGCGGGCCGCGTCCTCCAGCTCTGGCACTGCCAGCTGGGGAGATTCCAAACATCAGAAGCACAGAATGCACGCTGATGCACACCAATGCGCATTCGCACAAACTACTGCTTACCACATTATCTGGAAGCCTGTGTCCTGGAAGATACTTCACATTCTCATGGCTGGTGTTGATGATTTCGGTCAGTTTGCGTCCATTCACCATCTCCTCAAACACCCACATCTTGACGGTGTTGTCAAAATTTGGATTGCGAGCAGCGTTGGAACCCACAATCTTGGCAATGGCCGAGCCCCTGTGGCGTAAAGGGCTCATGGTCAGGGAGGGATGGTTCAGGGCTGTCCCCTCAGTCTGACCTCTGAGGGGCACAACCTGACCGGCTGCCAACAGGTGGAGCGCCAAACTCCAATGAAGAATCTAGACTTTGGTTATGCCGAATTAATAGGTACATTCAATGTGACTCAGACGTGGTTTTTATGTTATTGTCGCCCTTGTTTCAGCATAAACTTGTGTTCGGCATGAAAATAAAATCCTTTCACGTTATTTTCTTTCCATCAGGAGACACTAAACTACACTAGTTTCCTAACTAGAAACTGAGCATTAGAATACATCCCATTCGCTCGCAGCACAGAATGCACGAACTGAATTAACATGATGATTTTAATAATTTGTTTTCGGCCACAGGACCGTGTCAGAGTGAGGTTTTCCATCTGGATGAGGTTTCCACGTCGACACGGTCATCCCGACCTCCCGTAAGTCGGAACGGGGCTCCACCGGTGGAGGCGGGCTAACGTGTCTTTTTTTCTGCACACAGTTGCTAACTTCAAGGGCACAAAACTCAGAAACAGATAAGCCGTCGGTTTCCCTGGACGTGCTGGCGGTGTTTCGGCCTCTGGTGCTGCGGCGGGCTGAACGCCTCTCGGCGGCTAGTTACGGCAAACTTCCCCCCGCGTTACTATGGAGAGTGTTGCTAGTTAACGACCCACGCAGCACCGTGGCGTCAACACGGGCTGCAGCGCGCAACCTGACACAGCCTGTCCCAGACTGACACCACCCCCCCACCCACCCACCCCGTAACGTTGACGGGTATCGACTTGCCAGTTTCCAGAGCCCACGATGCAGACCTTCTTGGGGGCAGCCATCACGGTGCGGGGATGCAGCGCTGAGTGTGGCCCGGTCCGCACACTTCTGCACAGACTGCAGCTCTGTTATGCAACAGTACTCCGATTTTATTGGCCTGTCCTGTGGGGAGACACCGGCCCGCCCACTCCAGCCTCGGCCTGAGGCTGGTCACTCATTTATGGAGCAGAGGTCAGCAGGCCGAAGGTACCTGATCCAGCCTGGGTCAGTCCATCTGTAGTAATTCCTTCATGATCTTTAAGATCAGACATTACAGTCCTGGCTGAATATATGTCTGACAGGATGTAAGTATGTCGCTGAGTCTTTTGGACGTTATTTCACAGTTTCACATTCATTTAAAAATATTGTTCAATTGACTCAATTCTAATGTGATAGATTTGCACACTATTCAATAAGCATAAAATAAAGTATAGATCTAATTCTATAGCATTGCTTTTGTGCTGTTGTTGACCCAGTAGTTTTACCGTCACTCTTAGTGCTCCCATTTCTCCTACTGACATTTAGGTCTAATTATGAATGAAAACATGTAGTTACCTTTGCTGCTTCCTTTGCTCGTTTTTGTGTGTTTGTAAGCTTTTTTATGTAGGTGACCAGTGGTGAAAGTGTTGGACCTACTTGACTTGATATAGGCTTCTACCACTCAGCAGTGTTAGAAATATTAGTGGATACGGAGAATGTGTCTGCAGTTACACGTGGCTTTACAGGGTATTTTCCCCAGACACAATGACAAATATGCTTGTCAAATATAATGGGCAAGAAATCAGTCTCATACCTGCAACATCTGTGCACAGTGGAAAATGTTGGTGAAACAAAGTAGTGAGGAAGCAGATGGAAGGTTTTTTTTTAGTTATCTGGAGTCACTCTAGTGGACTGTAATGGTTGTGATATAATAGGTCCCATTAAGGATGAATATACAGATAAACTTAAATCATGATGGAGTAAGTTGCTTGAAGACATTATTTAAAAAGCAAGCTTGCAAAGTGAGCATTTTCATTCCAACATCAGAGCAAAGAAAACAAACAAATACATCAATAAACTATAAAAGTGTTGGGTATGTTGGGTAAGATGATGCTTATTGGAGCCATTTAGCCATGGCCGCTGTTACGTTAGAGGCCCACCTTTGGAACAGGGGCCCCTGAAAAGACCCTGACCTGCACGGTGTGGAAACAACCGTCCTCTGCTGCTCTGCATTAGCAGGAGTCAGGGGGTTTGAACATCTGCTTGGTATGTGTCCTGATAATCTCCCTCTGCAGGTCTTTCAGGCACATTTAACCGAGATATGGTACTGGCTGGAGGGATTTTTGTATCCCTTTTGACTTGGAAGGGCCTTGGAATGTCTGGATTTCTTATCTGAACCTGTTGACTATGTGACTTGACCTTCAACAGGAAGATGAAAATAGATGGACGGACAGCAGAAACAAACTCTTCTGAGCGTTTTTTAACCCTGAAAAATGATATCCGTCAGTGTCAGGATTTGTTTTGTTGGTGAAACGCTATTTGCATTAATAATGCCATACTCTGGACGAGTGAATAATATTTGATGATATACAGCATCTGGATGTGCTCGTTTTCTGCTCTGCGAGGGTTTCTGTTAAACTTCCTGCATGTGTGATTGGATGACTTTTCACACCAAAAAACATCGCCGGATCATTAAAAGTCAGAGAGCTCACTGTGGGAGAAAACATTTGGTTCAAAGGGCTAAAACAAAAGAGGACCTTGTTGCATAAGAGCTTGACAGCAAACAGAAGAGGCGATGCAGGAAGGAACTAAAGTCAGCAGTCTGGATTTCTGAGAGCAGGAACAACGTGAGAAAATCCAGCTTACTTTGCTAAAGAGAACTCATGATTATGGGTCAACCACAAACTCAGTCACACTTTTTTGGGCTATGAGTATGTCCTCTTTGGAGAGCCCCACATTCTGACCAGGACAGCTGCAGAGTGTGCACCCAGCTGCCACCTACAGTGGCTAAAACTAACACAGGTCTAATGCACTGTGAAAAATGCTTTGACGCTAAATTTGTGCTCATTTTGATTCTTTCGATTCCACTTTTACAGCAGTTCAACTACACTGTCAGTTTTCTTTTTGGTCTGTCTGTGAAGTGGTCTTTCATTTCCATATCAAATTCATTGTGCTTAAGTTTGACAATTTTTTGAAAACTGAAACCAACCAAAACGTTTAAAAGGAAATTCCCCTCCAAACCTCAATATGAGTGTAATTGATGACACAGAACGGGGAAATAGAAAGCCATTAATCTTTAATATAGCTGCTGCAAATCCATAATCATCTACGTATCACCAAACGAAAACAGCATTCTGCCTTTGCTCAAATAAAAATGCAAACTGAAAAAATGAAAGCTGAAAGAGGAGCAGAAAACACGTCAACCTGTGGACTTGGATTGAGATGCATGACCTCATGCAGCGCACAAACAACAGCCTGGCAGCTCATTTTCATGTACTGGAGAGTACAGCTGCTGGGACTGGAGCAATACAAGAAAAAGGAAACAGCCACTCACTTTTGTACAAACTAGATAAACCAGCTACAAACACGTTTAGACGGAACAGAACTGTGACACACTGCTAGTCTTTGTTAACTTAAGCCAAACACGTACAACTTTAGACAGACTGGACTCAGCTAAAACATTAAGATTATCAGAGTCAAAATGATATTTACATTTAATTACAGCTGATGGCACGTTTGTGCTCACTAGTAACACAGCACAGCTACACATTCCCGATATCCTGCTGAGACTAACACAGAGCTCAGAGTCAAGTAGATTCACTGCAACAGAACATTTAAAATGATGTTACTTTTGTAAACACAGTCAGATGAGAAAATCTTGAGCATGCTCACACGCTGACAGGCTAACAGAGGGCAGCATTTTTTACATTTCTCCTGAACAGCTTCTGAGTTTGGCACCAGCTAAACACACTCAGGCACACAGAAAAGTGACAGTATGCAATGAAACACGCAAAAAGATAACTTAAAAGCGGTGTGAGTGGTGCTGGTGAACAGTTGGACCATATTTAAGACACCTGCTGTACAATGCTACTTGCAAGTCAGAGCCCTAGGTGACAGAAAAACACATTCAGCTTATCTATTGAAATGAAAATGATCATTACAAGACTGAAATGAAATCCTGTGCAAAGTAACTGGGATTGATGAAAAGCATGGGAACACGTATGACATTCGCTGACATGATACTGTTTGTGCTCAAGCCAAAATAAATAAATAAAAAGAAAAAATTCCTATAGAATCCACTCACAGAATGTGAATGTAGTATTTGTTCATTGTAACATTCTGGTATATTTCTTTAAAAAGAAATCTTTTATGTTAGAGATTTTGTTTCAGATTATTTACTGTAAGGTTATTAAAATTTCATTGCATTCACTGACATTTTAGTACAAGGTTCGTTTAGAGGACAGATGCAGCTCTTGTATCTCTTTCTTGAATAAGAAGCTCCGACGGTTTGTTCAACAAAATAGACCTAAATAGAGAAAACAAACCATAATACCTAAATATTACCTGATTAATTGTGTTTGTTAAGTATGGATCCAGTTTTTATTTGGAACAGTTGAGATAAAATATGTTTAGAAGTTAATCCAAGAATTTTCCCCCTGATATCCAGTTCTATGTGTTATTGCAGTCTTTGTTATTGCAGTAATCCTCACACAGACATTTATGTGTGGCTGGCCTGGATATCCTTGTTTCCTTGCTCTTGGGACTTTGGGTGCTCACTTTACTCCAAAAGTTGAGCAGAGTACAGCTATATTCAATGTCTACTCATTGGTGAAACAAATGTAAACTCCCCTGAAATAAAAAAAACCCCCCAAAAACAGGGAACTGCACTCACTTCTCGCTGCTGCCTCCAATCAGTTTTGGTTTTGAAACTGGTAGGAAACAATAACCTGAGAGTGAACATATAAAAAACCAAATGAACATTTCATGGCGTACAGACGCAGACATATTATCAGTCTGCTCAGGTGTCTACCCAAAGCCAAGAAATGTGCTTCCAAAAAGGGAACTCTGCATGCTCCCATAATGTGGAGGATTTTCTGAGGAAATAAATTCTTATACATATTTCTATTACATGTCTGTTCCACAGAATTGGAAATGTGGCTAGCAGTTTTAATGGGAAAACAAAGGTTACCAACAACATTGTCAAGTAAACCCGCTGAACCTGTCAGGTCCAAGTTCCAAGCTCCAGTAATAATTCACCACAATGTTCTACCATAAAACATTTGTTTAATAGTTGTGAAGACTTAATCAGTTGTAGTTTGAAATAGTAATGGCGGTCATTAGTGAGACAATACATCGTCTGATTCTTTTGTTAAGGAGTTAAGAATTTAGCTGGGAAATAATGTTTTAATGTGTGTTCCTATTAACGAGAGCTTTTTAAAAAATGTAATCATTAAAAGGTTTTGATAAATTCAAGGCCAGCAGCATCAAAAACACAATGCACCCAATGATGATGAGTGTCAGCACTCGGAGAAACCGTAAAAATAGCCAAATTTGGCCAATATTACCATCCATTTTCAGTGGAAAAAGATGTGTGGACTTTATGGTCACATATTTGTTTTACTCTGCTTCTGTATTTGCAGAAATGACCTTTTCGTCTCCCAATTCTTATGGCTCACAAATTGACTGTGGCGCTGACACCCTGACAGATGAGGTAGTATGGTGTATTGACAGAATGCACAGAGCTGAAAAAGAACAGACGGTTTCAAGATGAAAATGGATGACAAATATAAAAGAGAAAAAAATGGATGAAAATGGGAATACAGCCAACAAAGTGCAGATCTGAGAACATTCCAGCAAACTAAGAATTATTTCACACAGAGCCTAATGAGACTGACAGATAAACACCACTGCAATGCCGATGCACTCAACGCGTACGAACTGTCATCTCGTTCATGCCCCAGCTGACAGAGTCTGTTACGATGTCTTAAAAAAGGTGTTTACAGATGATGGCCATGCAGTTATTCTATCATGACGACATGTTGACCGCTGGTTTCTGCTGCCCCGCTGTCTCTTGGGTCGTCCGCTGGCTTTAGCCGCGTCACCGTGATCGCCGCGCGGCCCAAAAACCTCAACCAGGCACAGTTTCACACACATCATCAGCTCCCACAGCAGTCAGACTGCGGTGTTCAAAGTCCAGGACGAGGTTCCCTGCTCCAGACGCTCAGTGAAAGTTACTGACGTGACACTTGACGTCGTCTAAGCTCAGGACCGTCCCCTGGTCGTTGTTGTTGTTGTGCTTGTGCTTCTTAGCAGAGCAGCGGCAGAGCTTGTGCTTTATCACCTGTGAATAGCCATTCAAATGGGTATTTTACAACAGGGGCAGAAGGTGAGTCTACGAACACCAAGCCAGTACGTAGACTGTGAGGCAACATGCGAGATCTTTGTGTGCTTCAGGGCAACGCCTCACCTCATAAAGATAGTCGAATATCTCCAGGATTGTCAGGATGCTTGCCCCAATGAAAAGGCCCATCTGACCACCGATGTCGCCTGGACAAAGAGAGCATTGAGACGGAGAATCATTTGCAATGCAGACAGCAGCAGTAGTGCGCATAACACATCACGGCTGTACCTAAAAGTCCAGCTACTTCATACGCTCTCTTCTGTTCAATGGTTTCATAGTTGAGAGCTTCAAAAAAGATGTCCAAAACCAGGATGTTTTCCCTGCAGAGACAAATAAACAAATGAAGCGGGTAAAGACATCAGCGCCTTGTTTTAAAGTCGCCCCTGTTGAATTAAAAGCGTGGAGAAGCTTCCAGATGTGCTAAATATGACACTGGTGATGTCATCGGGGTTCTTAAGCTCAGCGTTTGGCAGACAGCCACCACTGAGTGCAGCAATGGGAAAAGGGGACAGTTTGGTCACACGGGGCAGTTAGCTCTCATGCGATTGTAAGACGACCATCATGAAATTTAGAATAGCAAAAAAAAAAATAAAATAAGAGTTGTTTGGTTGAAACCCGTAAAACACACGTTAAACTGGAACTCACTTAATGTACTGCTCAGTTTTGTTGTATTTCTTTGCAAGGTACTTTGCAGAAGCCTTGCTAGGGATCTTGACAAAGGACAGCTCTTTGCTGTATCTGGTCATGTTGCACGGCGTTTCGCAAACACAGAAGTCGTTGTCTTGCTCCACCAGGAAATCTGGAGGGAAGAAAACCACAGCACAGCTTGACCTATGGATCAGCGCAGCTGTGGCTTAGAGATTCGGTGGGATGTGTGTGTGTGGGTGTACTTATATTATTCATGCCCTAGGGACATAAAATGTAGCAACCTCCTTCTTTACAGAGAGAAAAAAGAGAAGCTCAACAAAGTAGAGTCGGTCAAAGGTAAGTGTAAGTTGAGTTTAAGGAAGTGAAGGTCAGTAATTGCAGTCTCCTTTGAAGTGATGGAAATACGTCCGTATGTGTGTCCTTTAAAGATTCTGACGTGGGCGGAGCCTCTTCCTTACCGAGAGCTGGGTCAGCACACTCTTTGTACAACTCGGGGGTGCAGTAAGATGCACTGCCTGTGGTCAGAGCAACACACACACACACACACACACACATACACACATCAGTACATCCTTCAATGCACTGCCTTCTTGACGTCACCGTAGTCATTTCTCTGTGGTGTGATGGACAAAGCTCTGTCCTACCGGGCATGTGCACCATGCGACAGTTGCAGTTGTCCATAAGGTAGCGGGTCTCGCAGTCGATGCGACAGGCCGTGATGCTGTAGCTGTCGAAGAAGTTGGACTCCATGGGCGTCACCTTACAGTCACCCCACGGTGGCGGCAGATAAATCAGCTGCAACGACATCACACATAAACTCCGGCAGGCCGATTTGGAGTATTGAAAACGAAACAGCAAAAAGGTTTTAAGATTTTAAACAGCAAGAAGGAAAATGAAAGAACAATAATGCCAAGAGTCTGCATGAATAAAGAGAAGCGTGTGATACTTCTGTTGCATTTCTGCTCCAATCTATTCATTCTGGCTCAGTGATAATGAACTAAGATCCTAGTTGAGTCAACTGATAGAATCCAAACAAACATGTGAGATAAGAAACAAAAAAAAAATTATGAAAAAAAAAAATCACTTTCAGGATTAATCTGATCAGAAAAGGAAAGTGGACTTTGAAATGATAACAGCTGACACCATTTACAGACCAATTCACTGGCTCAGCCCTGACACACTTCCAACTTTGGGATTTAACAATCTGGAAATAAATCCCTCTTTGATCACTTGACCTCTGCTTTTTGCTGATCTGCAGAGTGGCACTGTGAAATATTCATTTTCCCAAAATATGAAGGAGAAAAAAATAAAGATAATCAGAGTAGAGCTGAAATCAGGGCTCTGGCTGACAAAAACAAACTGTTCCTTTTTAATTATTTTAATCAAAATATGTTTTTGCTACATGGATCGTTGTCTGTAATGTTAATCAACTATTTAATGATTCATTCCTACATGTAAGTATAACAGTTCTGGAAATCTGAAATAGAAAAAAATGTTGGTGATAAGCAGATGAAGTAACAACTAATTCTACTTTTTGAAAGACATTCCCTAGTTGCACCGTATGATTTGATGAACAAGCAGGCAACGCTTTCTACCCGCTGTTCCTGGCAGGACACAAAAGTCTGGAACCCAGGAGCCACCCCGAAACCGAGCTGGTCAATGAAGGACGGCTCGTCCTGGCTGTGGATCTGAACTTTGACCCCGGCCTCGAACGAAGTCTCATCTGCGGCACAGTGGAGGTTAGGAGCACGGGGTGATGGGGAGAGAGCATTTCATGAATGAATCCCTGCATTTGGCTGCGCCTCCTCACCTGTTTCCCCCCAGACTGGCAGGTATTCATCCTGCTGAATGTCCAGCATGAGCTCAAGCCCGTTTCCCATCCCTCCTTTGGTGGTGAAGAGGGGAGGGCGTCCGTCCCCGCCAGCGTTAAAGGTGTAACACTTCCCATAGCGAGTGAAGACCTGAGTGACACAAAAAAAAGGGGTTCCATTTCACACACTTTCCGAGGTCTTAACCATGCTTTTCCACTGGGGGTCAGTGTGAGTCTCACTTTCTAATATGTAGGTGTGCTGTGTGTTGGCATGTGTGTACACGACATAAATTTATATATATATGAGAAAAACAGAGAGAGGGAAAAGTGTGACCAAACGAGGAAAGGGAGGGAGAGTGGAGGAGCAAATGGGAAGGAGGTTTTCCTGTGGAGGTGTTAGTTACACAATCAACCCAGAGCAGTGATGGACCCGGCATACTGGTGATTTAACATTTCCCCGCATGCTCTTATTGCACTTATAATGGACTTGATGTTTCCATGGAGACCAAGCATCCAGGCCAGGAAGAATGCTGCCTTGATTTTCAAGGGAAACCGGGACACAGATGTTAAATGGAGCTTCTGTGAAATAGCAACAACAGCCATATGATACACAGAGACCTAACTTACAGCACAAAGGGATCTCACATTAGGCGGTGGGCTGTTGCTATGAGCCACATGGCCAGTGCAGGGAAAATAAGGAGGGTAGTGGGAGAATGATGGAACGTGACTGAGACGGAGAGGATTAAAGGATGGTTAGCAGCTAACACTTGCAGCAAACTGTTGGTCCCAATTTTGGCACACGTTGGCATATGATTAGAAGGAACAAACCACCCAAGTAAATGTCAAGAACGAATTTGGATATTGCCGAGTAAACATTGAAACATTCAGGCCATCTATCATGTAAAGTCTGCAAGAGACTGCTGCTGCTTGCAGCAGATGTGGATTGAAAATAAACCCCCGTTCAGCACTGATAAAGGCAAATGATTGACACAAATAATGTGCGCACAGATAGGCTCGCCAGGCTTTGCACTGGTGGGTGCAACCATATCAACAGCATCCGCACCATCTGAAAAATCTCCACAATTATCGGTATAACCGGCAGCTACTCATCAGCTGGCCAGTCATTAGGAAAATATTTTTCTCCTGCCTGTCTGTGAGGGTCTGAAGACGTACGGCACAGTGTGAAGCTGAATGTTGGTGAAACAAGATCCTGCAGAATGTTTCTGGAAAATGTGGGGGAAAATGGAACAAAATCTAAGGAGAAAAGGGTGTTAGCTAATGTATGAGCATGTCTCTGAGTGCCATAATCATGAAGGTTTAATGAAGGACTGGCTGAACAGTGAGCACGCAGATGAGTTTAATGACACATATGTACTGAAGGGAAAACAAAACAAAAAGTACATTAAGGGGTTAAGGGGCATCATCCTACCCCCATGTTAGCCATTCTTCCAATATTAACAGAAAGCTGATGTGCCATGTTTGCCATGTCTTCAAAGAGCTGGTAAACAACTTTTGCCAAAAGATGACAGAATCAAAATGATGTTCTCATTGTGCATGTGTTCAGATTGTCTTGATAGCTGATCCAGTAGATGGATATTTTAGGCTCATAAAACATTAATACAATCACTGATAGTTGCATTGATCCACATTTAAAACCCAATAACTATTCGGTTTGTTAATTTCTTATGCCAAATAAATGGATGGTCATTTCTTTGGGGAGACATTAGCTGTTTTCTACCTGTCTACCAGATTTTTCAATAAACCCTAATTGCATTTGAAGCGATCAAACAAAAATGATGATTCAAAAACATTATTTCAGACATTCTCATCAGTAACAAAGTTGCGTGGAAGAAAATAAGTCACAAGACTGATATTCCCTGTTATTAGTATTCACCATGATATAAAATCCCCACTGTCAAATGAAATATGCTGCGTTTTGAACACCAGCCAGATGGCACTAATCACCAAGGAACCTTTGTCAGTGAAGCCCAAAGTCACCAAACTTTGCCTTGTTATCATCTTCACAAACAATAGGAGCAACACTGCACAACTACAACTGTGAAAAATGTTGGAATTATTTGGTTGTCAACCACATTGTTTTTTTCACCCGTATTTGTCCACATCCACGATTGCCTTTAACATACATGTATACTATTTTTTTTCACTGGAAGTTTAAGTATCTTTTTCTATCTTGATGGGCAGATGTGTGCAGAAAACATCACAGAAATCCTGTCAATAAATGATGGAACTGTTGGAATAGTTCGGAGAGGATCTACGCGATGACCTTAAAGGCCGAATGACAGTCGTCCATTGAGCCATGCTGGCACTGGGACTAAACATCCAGAAAACACCGTCCTCCTGCTACCTGTCACTGTCCAGCCTGCTCCAGTTGCCACCTTCAACACACTCATTTGCACTTATTGATCAAAAGACTCCTGATGGGTTGGTGGAACAGCTGCAAAAGAGGAGAGCCTATTTCTTTAGCCCTTTTTCAACAAACGAAAGGATAAATGTGTTAGAACGTCTAGAGGCTGCACCTCATGAATAAATCAATCATTACATAAAAGTTCAATCATGTATTTAAAAGGTGAATGCTGTTCTTCTGTTGATCAATACTCAGATTTGAGCTAATGTCAGGTGTCACCGCTCTACTTTTGGTTCCGCGGTTGATGTTTTGACAAAGGTGCTGTTCTAACACGTGCAAATGCAAAAAAAAAGTCTGCTCGGCGTGTATGCTGCATGCTGCCTGTTACAGCCAATGAATAAATGATTGCGAACATATGACAAAGGTCTTTTCAGCAGCAGGAAGCATATGAAACACAAAGAGACAAGTTATACACCAAAGGCAAAGGGAAACTCTGACTTCTACAGAGACATTTCCCTTTTATTTGTGATGATTTTAAACAATATAAAAATGCTTTCATTAATCACACTCTTCAGTACAAACGGGCTAATCCTCCAAACTGTCACTCACACACAATTTTCCATGTAATTCCACGTACGTATGGAAAGCACTCAGCCAGGCTCCGCTCTAATAAATCATTATGCACATAATTATCCACCTCTGTTTCTATAACCACGCCCGATTTAAAGCGAATCGCTGAATGACAAATCCATGCACTTTGCTATCCATTTAGCAAGGTCTTAATACAGTCGTGCTGTCCGTGACCAGCAAAAGACGTCTCAGCAGGCTAAGTTCAGTCCATTAGTGCTCTCTTGTTTTATGGGGATGTTTTCAAAGACTTGAAAGCTGTCTTGCTAAAGTGCAAACACTTTTGCTGTAATTAGGCTGTAAGCTTAAAAAGCTACATCTGGGGAAAAGCCGTCTAAATGCAAAGAGACAAAGAGATATCCATAGGGACCATTGTCGAAGTAAACAAATAATGGTGTTAATAATAGTGATGGTAACAAAAAAAGAGACTAGAAGCAGATGCATGCTATTGTGCAACATAGGACTGCGATCTGATAAAGATGTCAACTGACCTAAAAAAACTGGGAAGTTTAAAGCTTTACTGTTTCATTCAAAGACCAATACAATTGAATAAATAAATAAAAGCGTTGCTATTAACGTGGGACAGAAACCCGCGCAGCCATGCAGGTGGCTCTTGCTCATTAGGAGGTAGTCACTGCAGGTTTCTGCCAAATCTCAGTGCCAAAAGGCTAACATGTGTATCTCTTCAATTATGCTATAATCCTGAACAGGGAGCACAGCTGCTGCTGCTGCTGGGATTGTGTGGGAAATGTTTGGCTGCACACCAGCAAGACAGGTTTACAGGGACGTCAGTAAGCCTGTGTCCTGCCTTAATCATTTCTCCTATCTCATGCAAAAATATATCAAAGGATCCCATGGTTTGCTTGCTGGTGCCCATCAGAGCAATAGTTGGAGATTTATTTTATTATGTTTGAAGATCAAGGGACTGCAGGGATTTGAACAAAATCTTCTTGAGTTAGGGTACAGAGAAATGTTGCTTTAAGGATAATCATCTTCCTCCTGATCCAATGAGAGTGAATGCAGCTGAGAAGTTTGTACTTTATCAGAACATATTTCGCACTTGCATAGTGCTTTTCAAAAACACTAATGTGCTGCAGCTTGAATAAAGTCACACAGACATGACAGAATAGTAATGAAGGTTCATTGTGAATGTGCGTCATCAATTTAACCAAACCTGTTCTCAAAACACATGATTGAGCACACTTTAATGATCAGGACTGTGCTCGTCTAAGAAAAAATGTCCATATATGTAATGAATGAGTAAAGTCTGCCAGCTGTTTGAGACAATTGAAAGCTCTGATAAAGTCCTAAATGTTTTACAAACAACAGATTTTTATGTCAGCGTGGTTAAAAAAGAACCTTCGTTTTCAAGAAAAAAAATCCGGAAATACGACGAGAACAAAATTGAGGACTTGTTCCATTTCAAAGACAGGCTTCACTCTTTTGCTTTTGGTCAAATAATTATGATAACCTTTTATATATTTGGTTTTTGTAGAGTGAATGATGGTGCAGGAAACCATCTAAGCCGGATTTAACAGCGTATTATTAAAAAAAGCATGTAATAGAAATACTGAGTCCTATTTGTCATCAGGATTTATAAGGCCATTTGAAATGCAGCCTTAGAGTTGGCTATATATTATCTGCATAGACATTCTAGTTTTTCAAAAATAAATGTATCAGAAGCAAACCACACACTCCCCCTCCGTTAAGCTCTGAATGAATAGCTGACTCACCACACTAATAACCTGTCTTGAATCGAACAGAGAACCATTGCAAAGAGAAAAAATAAAGCCAGAGCAGAAGAGCGGTTTGTGTGTGCGTTTGTGCGGTAATGATGCCCAGAATATGGAATATTTGGAGCCACTGAGTAACCCTGAGTCACAGGCTGTTCACGTAAAGAAGATGAAAAACATGTAATGTAGGGAGGAAGTGCAGGAGGAGTTCTGAGGAGAGGCGATAACCAAATGCTTCATTCATACAGGTTTTTTCTTCATTAGAAACCAAAGATTACAGTGAACTGCTGAGATACCTGCTATGTGGACATATGGCAACTTTGTACCTGTAAATGCCTAAACAGGGAGAATCTAAAGCTTTATTTTTATATCAGGCGTAAAATCACTTTACATTTTCACGGCTCTAAGACAACAAAACCTACAACA